GGCTCTGTGAGACAGGAGGTAAAGCTAGGCTGTGAGCCCAGGCATCAGGACATCTGCCCGCAGTTCTGTCACTGTAGTTTCTGCTTCCCAGTGGCTGCCTTGAGTCCCAGTCTTCTTCTCTGCCCCCTTGGTCCAGAGGGTTTTGCCACAGGAAGGACAGCTCACCTGCCCTTTCAGAGTTTTGATTTCCTTATTCATAAATTGGAGGGGGAGGGTGCATGGGCTACATATTTTTGAGCATTGCATTATATTTAGCAAATAAAATCAGATGGATTCCAATAACACAGATGCTGAATTAGATGGTTCCTAAATTATTTTCATTTTGGACATTCTAGAAGCCTTTCTCCTCACCACCTGTTCCAATATTTCTCATTATCTTGCCGTGCCTTGATCTGGCCTGAATCCTCATGGTGCGCGAACTCACCCATTTTTGTGTTGAAATTCACCTCTCGGCTGCAGAGAGATGAAGCCTGCAAGTGCATGTGTATGTCTGTGTGGACTCGTGGCTCGAGTGAGGATCTAAAACAGATGGAGCTGCTGAAGATTAAAAGTGCAAATGTGAACTGGAGACACACATGTAACAGGGGAGTGTGCTCAGGCTGAGCTGAACTGGCGCATCTGGCAGACAGCCATACTCACACGGATACATCCTTTTAACCCAAGGCGAGGGGAGCCCAGTTCCGACCTGGGCAGACCTGGGTCAGGGGGTGACTGTCACAGAAGTTAGCAGTCTTCTCTCACTGCTGGGCTGGCCCCTCTCTACTCCCGACCAGAACTGAGCCTGAGAGCATCCAGAAGAATCTGATCTTGGCCCCAGGGCAAAATCAGACCCAGGGAGAACCAATTCTTTATTTTGCTGTTTTGAAATTGAGATCAAATTTGAGGTCTTTTTTAAAAAAAGTCATCTGGCAGGCTTCAGATCACAGAAGCCCAGCGCTTTCCTGGCACACAGCAGCAGGACTGGGGGCACCCGAGGTGATGCGGTACAGGTCAGCTGTCAGTCTTGCTGTTTGTTACCCATGCCTCCTTTCCAGGCCGCTGGCGCTGGCGGGAGGAGGACCTCCTGCCCCTGGAGTGTGATGAGAAAAGGAGTAAAGATATGATGTATGTGTACTTGGAGATGCAGTCCTTGGAATCAACAGGTTTTCCTGATTTTAAATTGAGGACAAGTAGCAAATGACAGGGCAACATCTGTTTGGGGAGGGGACTTTGGGGCATTGATCTTAGCAACTATGGACCTTCCTGTGTCTGGGCTCCCAGTCCACTGCACATTAGGTCTTGCTGATGTAAAGGCAGCACCTGAGCCCCCATGGTTCCTGGCCAGGAGCACTGCCACCCACTGGTGAGCCCTGGGTGTGCTCAGAACCTCAACCCGCCAGGCCCGGCACCTTGGAGGGAATGTGAGAAGACAGGACGCTGGCGGGCGGCTGTGTCTTAAAACTTCATGATCGCCACCAGGCACAGGAGAGAGGAAAAGGCAAACAGAACAGGCAAATAACTGCTTGTCTTCATAAAGATGAAGTAAGTACATGAGAGGATAGGCAGATCTGTGAGGGTGGGAGGGCATAGGTAATGAGTTCATGGTAATTTCTTGCCTAACAATAATAGTCACTACTGAGTAAATGCCTATGTTTTCAGTCACCTATGCCAGAAGCTTTATATAGGTTATATCCAACCCACGGAACTCCATAGGTAGGGAGTATTGGCTTCCACTACGTAAGAGGGAACTGAGGCTCAGCAAAATTAGGTAACTTTTCTTCATGACACTCTTAGTAAGTGGAAGAATGTTTTACATGCAGAAGTTACAAACACAGGCTGGGGTCAAATTCTGGCTTTGCTACGTATAGGCTATGAGACCCTGGATAAGAAGTATATATCGTCTTTATGTCTTAGTTTCCTTGCCTGTAAAGTGGAGATGATGCTTCACAAGGTCGTTGTGAAGAGTGAGCAGGACTTCTCTCTGCAGGCCCTTTTTGGCAGGCCTATGTGGAAGGACATGAACCACGTACAAAAGTAAATTACTGAGCCCTCTGGAGAGTCTCTACTTTCATGGTATTCAGAAAATGGGACGTTTTGCTAAAAAAGCAAAAATTAAAAAAAGTTGTGGAGGATTAAATGTCATCTGGCCTCACTACCAGGTAGTGCTATTCTTCATGCAGTTCGCTGAGCCAGGCTGTCCTCAGAAATCCTTGGGGAAGTGCTTACAGCAGCATCCTGACCTCATGTAGCATGTCCTGCCCCTTCCTGGTATTTTCTCCCAACACTTACCCTTGGTCCTGCCTTGCTGCCCTCTAGAACCACCATCATCACATTGTCTAGGACAGCTGGTTACCATCATGACCCAACACTTCTGCAATTGGTTAAGTTCCATGTGGTCACATCCTCCTTGGGATGGGCAATCCCAACTCCCTTGCTTGTAGAACCAGAGAGGGTGGGAAGGATGGTGCTAGTGGCTCCTGGCACGAAGAGGGGAGCCCAGTGTTCAACCTGTAAATGGGTGTCTTCTGCGCTGCCTGGGAGCCCTGTGTGGTAGTACATGTTAGAGGTGACAAGATTCAGGAGGGCTGGCTCTGCACTGGTGACGAGATCGGGGTGTAAAACATGTCTTTCTACCTGCGAGAGGAGGGGGCTCCTCAGGTGCAGCCAGACTCTCCTCCAAAGCGGAGATCACTGCTCTCAGCAGGTGCTCTGAAGCAGAGATAATGGTATAATTTGACATTCCCCTTTCTTTGGAGAAGAGATCTCAGGTATAATAGCCATTTTCAAAAGTCAGGGAGGCGGAGTGTAGCCAAAGATGGGAGGAGGAGGGGCCTGAACTTCAACTCAGAGGAGACGAGCCTGCTGGTTATATACACAAGCAGCCTTTCCCATTTTTAAAGCTCCACTGAATTCTCTCTCTGAAAACAGCCAATTTTGCAGCCTCTAATTTTCTTCTCTGTGCTCTGCTTAGCATCAAGCCATCTCCCTTTGCAATTAAATAACCTCTTGAGGTGTGTTTGTTGTATGATGGGACTAAGTGTGCAGGTCTTGGCCTCTTCACTGTGGCCGGTCATTTGCCTGCTACCCAGGGACAGTGTAATGACAGCACCATCACAAAGTACTCCAGCGACCTTACTGCGGCCCCACGTGGTGCACGGGTCCCACAGCCAGAGTCTTGGGGCTGCTGCTCACCCCAGCTCCCCAAAGCTATGATTATCTATCTTGGTTTCAGGAGCAAAAGTGCTTAATATAACCTAAGAGCTACCTCACTTGTGAAACATCATTTCTTTGGGTGTGATGGACAAAACCTCCGAGGAGGATTTCCTTTCTTACATGGTCCAGAAATTGTCTACTTCTGATTCCTTAAAGAACATCTGTTTTATCCCTTCTCAGGTTGCTCAGATTTAACCCACCTGACATTAGTCAACTCCCTCAAGATGGAGCCTGGTGATATACTTGTGTAGCGCCTTGTAATTCCCAAAGCATCTCTACCTCTAAAATGTCATTTAATCTTCATAGCAATGTAGGAAAATAGGTTGGGCCAGTACTCTTCTAGCTTTCCCAGAAGCAGCTACCAAAGCTCAAAGAGATTAGGTGACTTGCCCAAAGTCACAGAGCTGCCAGGAAGTAGGGTAGGACCATAAGTCTTTGGAACCTTGGTCTGGGACTCTTGGCATTCACTGTACCGTACAGGTCCTGCCTCCTCCCTTAAAATGGTCAGGTGTAAGTGTAGGGTCAGGTATGAGAAGTGGAAGAGTCATATCACTTACTGGACTTTTCACTTAGGGATTTGGTGTCCAGAGGTGGCCCTGACAGTTTGAGAATGGACCTGGGGGAGTGCAAGGGAGTTTTTTGGGCATGAGAGAAATGCAAGGTGGACAAGGGAAATGTCTGTATTTGTGAGAGTTCAGAGTAGAAACAGATCCCCCTCACACGCAGAATGGGAGATCACAACCTCATTCGATGGGCTGGAGAGCACCAGGTGACGCTCCCAGGACTGATTCCCTGGACTGTACAGAACTCCCTGCTGGGGGGCCACCACCCACTGCGGGACGCACTGAAGTCAAGAGCTCGTGCCACGGGACCAGGCCTCACCCAGGAGGCTGCCGCCATGGATGCCGCTGCAGCTGCCTCTGACACTCCAGGGCTGGAAAACAGTTGCTGAAATGCCACAGTTGAAAGCCTGATGCTTCTAGCATGTCGCCAGCAGAAAGCAGCAAAAGGGGAAGGAAGGGATGGCAGAACACAGTTCCCTTCTAGAAGCGTTGCTTACAAGGGAGTCTGGGACACATGGCCTTAAGCTTGCTAGAGTCCAGCCACTGCAGATGAGAAGGGACATCACAAGGAGAGTGTGATGAATGCTGAGCGGGCCAGCGCAATTCCCACCATGGGAGCTGCCTGACACCCACTCTCTCCTTACCAATGAAAACCAGCTACAGGTCAGCACTCTGAAAACCAGTATTCAGTTAGAGTGGATATTTTAAAAAGTCTTTATTAGCACAGGAACAACCAGAGCATATAGTCACTTGTTTGCACAGACACCATGACTCTCAAGAATCCTTGATGTGCTTCACGGTTGAGTTGAGAATTTCCATCCCATGAAGCTCTCTCAGTTGAACAGCAAACCTGTCAGAATCAGAAAACAAGCTCCAGGACATACGTGTGCAGACCTGGTGGCCACAGCAGTCCGCCCTCAGGTAGATCTGGCTGGAGGGTGGAAAGGGGCCAGGCTGTGGCCTCGGAAGCCCTCAGGGAGGCCCACAAGACACTGCTATCACTCTTGCTGTGAGTGGCAGATACGACAAGCTGACCTGATGGCACCTTGCTCATGGAAACTTCTCAGTAGGTTGCCACTTTGAGCTCATGCTAGCCAAAGTGCCTTGCTATCTGTGGAAGACAGATTTCATCCATTCCTTCCATTGGAACAATCAGACAGAACTTGAAAGGACTTTAGATGTCATCCACGCCAACCCTCTCATTCAACAGAGAAGGATTCAGAGGCACAAGGCTGTGAAGGAAAGAACAAGACAGGCCAAAGACCCTCTCTGTCGAGGAAGCCACCCCATCTGTGCTGGGGCCCCATTGTGCAGCCACAGAGGGGCGCCTTGCGGGGCATAAATGACTCAGTGTTTCAGTGTGTCAGAACAGGACCCAAGCAGAACCGAAGGGTGAACCAAAGAGAAGCAATGTACACAGTTAAGGCAAAGGTCTCTTGCCCTGGCTTGTCCACCTCATTTTAGTTTTCTCCAGCACAAGAATGTTACCTTCCCTGGAAATTTTCCAATAGGCTTAGGCCCTGGGCAAACAAAAATGAAGTGAGAGATTTAACTTTTTATGGAAAAGTAGAGGAGGGAGAGAGCAGAGGTGGTGTGGGAGGGGAGGAAGTGAAAGAGGAGGAGAGCAGGATGGAGAGTGAGGAAGTGGAATGGAGAGGAGACAATGGCAGTGAGCACACGGAGCAAACCCGACAGATAAAAAAAGGCTTCCTTCTCAGATGGAGCACAAAGGCTCCCCAGTACCCTCAGGGAAGTAGGCTTCTTCCTGAGAGGCACTGCTGGGACCCAACACCTGTCTCTGTGGAAGGCAGCAGGACTCCCGGGCTGCCCACAGGGTTCTGTGGGGCAGAGTGCCGGCCACAGCACGACCCCCTGGCTGGCCCTGGCCTGCTCGTTCTGAAATGCAACCAACAAGGCCACCCCAGCATACCTCGGCTCGGCCGTGCACAGCTTCCCCAAAGCGATCCCTGCATTCAGCTGCACGGCTGTCTTCTGCGCATCACCTCCCGCAAGCTTCAACAAGACCTGCACTATGTCCGTCTTCAGCAGGGTGGACGCCACCTGTGGCACCTCCATGCAATTCCCCAGGCAGAGGGCGGCATTGCCCACCAGAACCTCATCCTCCGAGCTGAGCAGTGTCATCAGAACACTGAACTCTGCAGGGAGGGAGAACATGCATTGGTCCCTCCAAATTCCAAACAGGAGGCTGGCAAAGGGACATGAGAAACGCAAGGAGGTGTCAGTGAACACTGAGCTACCCCAGGAATTATGAGAAAGGGCATGACACTCCCTCATTCAGCAAAAATTTATTGAGTGCTACCAGCTCCCTGCTGTGTCTGACTTAACTCAGAGGCTGGGCAGTGCCTCTGATGCTGTGTGGATGAAATGCTATGTGGAAGGAGGTCTTCTTTATAGTCCCTGGTCTTAACCTCTACTCTCCACCTGAGAGCCCCTGAGTGCCAGGGCATGGGCCTGCACTTTGGACTGCAGGGCAAGCAGTGGGGCTCAGAAGACTCCTGCCTGCACGGAGGGCCCCACTCAGTTCCCTTCCCATGCATTCCAGATGGGGTGTTACGGAGAACATCAGCAGGCTGCCTGGGCTGGGAACTCTGCCACTGATGATTGTAGCCAATTTTAGTTACAAGACTAAAGCTAGGCTCAGAATATGATTATTCTCCTTGTTCACTGAAAGCTGAAGCTGTTTCTGCTCCTTCCCCAGGTGAAAGAAGAGAACTCATGTTAGGTCAGTTGAAGCAGATGTTTTAGAAACAACTTCAATTTAACCTGATGAGAGGAAGTAGCTCCCAGCTTCGACCCTGTTACCTGGGAACTGCTCTGCAGCCAGGTCTCCAGCCTGGGCCCACTACCTGTGAGCAGTGGAAGGCTAACCGAATGCTTTCAGAACCGGAGATGAAATGACATCTTACACGGTAAACACTGCCAAAGTCTGGGCCAAGTTCGTGGCATTATGCTAAGTCTCTCCTCTTTGCTCACCTGCAGTTCCCTTTGCAGCTTTAAGGATGGCTTAACCTCTGCGATGTGGGCTCTGTTCAATGAAAGTGTCACTTACTTTTATCTAGTCTTATCACTTCCTCCCGTGCTTCGTGATAACTATTCGTGCAGATGGCTAGTGTCTTCACAGCATAACGTGATGCGGTCTGGCCTCCTGCCTAAATTTGTGAATGAAATTAGAAAAATACAATCAATCCTAGGACTGTTCTTGGCCAGAAACCACACTGAGCAGCTGGGATTGTGCTCATGGCTCCCAGAACTTCCAAAGCACAGTCCCACTGAGAGTGGTGTGCAACTCCTGCCCAGCAGGCTGGGTCCCTGCTGGAGGGAGAGTCACCCACACCCTCTCTAACACAGCCCACACCCAGCATGCAGGCCTGTCATGCATACCTGAGTATTACCTGTGGAAGGCTTTATCAAAGGGGCTGAGAAGAGAAAGATGCTGTCGACTGACAGATCTACCAAAAAGTATGGGAAGGCCCTTAGTTCATTTCACCATTTGAGAATGAGGGCTGACTGCCAAGGCCATCAGGCCATTAGGCCTGCACGGAGAACATCATGACCCTAGATAATTTTAAGAGGTGATGACTGGCAAATCATAACCCTAAAGTCACCCCATGCCAAGTCTTTAAAGTGCATGTGTGTGTGCACGCACGCAGCAGCCTCCGGCAGCTTGGCGCAAGTTACACAGCACGAACGGCAGTCACCATCTCAGGAGCAGCTCAGACTCAGGCTCACTGTCCTGCCCACTCCATATTGCCTGTGACCCAGCAGCAGCCACAGCCCACAACAGAGCATGCTTCCTGGCCCCACACAGCTTGGAGTTCTATAAGTAAGTCTTCCATGATGTCACCACCTAACACAGGTGAGCCAGCTCATTGGGCATCTATACCACAGGCAGTAAGTCACTGCACCCCTTCATAGGAGTCTAGTTAACTGTTGTACCTGCTTGATTAGATTCATTGCATTCATTGCAGGGAAAATTTGAACACCCTTCTCTCACATGGTAATTGCACCCTGCATATCCCCCAAGTGGAGTTACAGCCACTCCATATTAAGAGGTGATGCAGAGAGCCAACACTCTGCAGATAACCAGATAAAGCATCGAGAGCAGGAAAATGAGCAGGCTAAGAGGCCTGAGAAACCTGGTTGGAAGTCACTCAGACCATCTTTTTCAGGCCAGAGGCCATACATTTTTAAGTTAGGCTTAAACAGTAAGCAGTTTTTATGAATGTGTCTAATGAACAGTTTATTTATTTATTCAATAACCTTTTGTTGGTGTTCAGAGCACAGTTTGGGTGGACAGACAGAAGAGAACCCCCATTCAAGTCTAAAATCTAACAGGGGTGAAATAGTAACACCTCAATCCTGGTTCCCAGATAAAGTGTTTCTGGAAATCCCAGAGGTTGTATGTAATCAATGGTGTTATTTTACCCTCAGGAATTTAATCATCTTCTTCACCACTCCTGCTCTTAGGGCCTCCTCGACAATCTTCAGAGAGGAAGAAAGGGTGCGGCTGAGAACACCTGCAGCTCTCTGAGGGAAGCAGAAAGTAAAGGATGATTGTCTTCTCAGATATGTTCAAGACCTCTAAAAGTTAACAAGGGTGAGGTAAAAACAATCATTAATATTGGGAGTAAAATATGCGGCTTGATTTTAAGAATATGTAATGGCCAAGTAATAGACAGCAAGCACTATCGTTTTCAGCACAGTTGCACGGCAGGCAACCCAAAGGCTTCAAACATGGCCCTCGTCACCCAGAGGCCCAGCTCACTTCAGCTTTCCCCAGGGCCTGCCCGGCCACCTCCGGGGAAGAAGCGCCACCTTGGGAGTGTCTCGGGGCTGACATCGGGCCAACTTCCTGGTTTGATCCTCTGGGTCTTCTAGCTTTTCCTTTCTCTGTCCTGAATCTTTGTCTTTTTGTTCTATTTTCTGGGAGACTTCCAGTTCTCATTTTTTTTTAACAGCAAGCTGTTACTACAGTTTGACTACAATACTACTTTGACTTTTTCTAAGGATATAAATAATATTTATTATTTTTTTCCTATTTCCTAAATCATCTACTTTGTTAAGAGTTGATTTTTCTGTTTATCTTGGCTTTTCTGTTTACGTGTTTGGCTTTCCTGAAATGTCTGGTGACCATCAGCTGCCCAGGCTCATTTATGAAAAAAGCAATAAAACACATTTCAGCATGCTGTGTTCACAGGGGGTCTGTCAGCGAGCAGGTGGAAAGGTGGCACTCCCAAATACTAGACAGCAAACATTTCCTTTCTGGTCTTTCAGTTCCTTTGAAGAAAAGTGCTCGCATTTTACTGCTGAGGGACAGATGCCTGGATGCTGCCTGCAGTTCCCTCATCTCTCACTTCTGCCCTGTTGTACCTGGTATTTTGAAGTTTCGATTTTCTCCGGGGTGCTGCAAGGCAAGCCTGCTATATGCCCAGCTGTGTTCCCCTCAATCTGTGCTCTATGCTAAGGTTCCTCCAGCTCTCATTAATTCCCACTCTTGCAGCACATTTCCATCTTCCATAAACTACTTACCCACTGGTGTCCTCTTACCTGTTCACTTCATCAATGTGGGGTCCTACTCCCCCCCACCATTTGCCTTTAGTTTCATTTTAATAAGGTCTCCAGAGGGAGAAGACATAAACTTTTGTATTAGCATATGATCAATCTTGTTTCCCTAATCTGCTTCCCACAGGTGCCAGTACAGCTCCCTTTCAGGCCCAAGACAGTGGGGAGAGCACCCTAAGGAACGATCTAATTCCCCTCAGAAGCTGCTGCGCTGTTTGACATGCTGGCCAGCACCCAGCTGTGCACATGCAGAGTCCTGGGAAAGTCTGGCCAAGAGAGCCCTTGAAGAGTTAGCAAATAACTAGTATTGGCCTAGCTGTAGGTTAAGACCATCCAGAAAAGCCCCGACTACCCAATGGTGGTCATCACTTTTAGGATCACAGATCTTTTCTGAGGATCTGATAAAAGCTATACTGCCCCTCACCCATGTAAATACACATGCACTAAGAATTTTCTACACAATCGCAGGGGTTTCCAGGGAACTGAAGACCTACCACATATCCCTGGAGCCCAGGTTAAAAACCCTCATTCTATAATGTCTGGACAGACTTCAGGAGAGTTAGGCATGCTGGCTCCAAACAGGACATACTGGATCCACTCAGAACCTTTACTATAACCCTATGACCACTGAAGGGCTGGTTTCCCAGACCTGCCCTGGATGTGACCTTAATTGTTTTTCTAGGCTTTAGGGTCCTGCCCTAATATGTAGAAAAGTTGAGGTGATTCCTGATGTGAGTTTTAACACAGCCTAGGATGATGGCAAATAGCTTCTTGAACCATATTAATGTTTTCCTGATGCACTGTGCTAACCATTGGCCTTCTCAGTCTTATCCAGATGTCAGAAATAGACATTAACAAAGCCATTCCAGCATGTATCTCCAAGGGGGCTAAAACCATCATGTGTAAACAACCCCTGGGATCACGGGCTTGAAAGACTGAGTTTGGTTTTGTGGATTATGGAAAAAGAGAGTCTACATAAAATCACTTGGCCTGCTCCATTTGCACAAGGATGTGCTGAAATAGGACAAATCAGACAGGACACAATATATTTCCAGACCAGACAGGAAAGGGCTCTGGACTCCAGGGGGCTTTACAGATAAGAATGGGTGGGGGTTACCAAGTCCCATGAAGCTGTAGGCAAACTTGATGTTTATATTGATTATAGGCGTCATTCTGAGGAGGATGTCGTCCTGTACCTCATAGTGTTGGCAGAATCTCAAAGGTAAGACAACTTCGAAAGAGTAAGATGACTTAATATTAAAATGAAACAGAAGGAAAACGAGAGAAACTGCTTCTGGATTTCTCTGGGAGAATCTTACTGTCAGGATTCCTCCATCCTGGCTGTTCAGTAGAGACATGCACCTCCTGCTCACTTCCGTGGCCCAAACCTGCAACAGTGGGGACAGGGAGGAGGAGATTTGAATGCTCGGTCTCTGGATCTTCTACGGAGCGCCCAGAGAGCCCTCGAATACAACTGGCCACTCCACCTGTTCCCCAGCGTTCTTATTTGTTGTGGTGTATGTCTCCTCTAACTACAGGGCAATACCTTGAGGGTGGGATTACATTTTATTTGACTTTGGAAATACAGGACCTAGCACTGTGTTTGGCATGTCCTGCACACTCAGCACTCAGTTTTCTGAATGAATATCTGACCTAGTGACTCATCTGTCCCTCAGTGAAGCTAAGTGACAGAGCATCCACCCAGCTTTCCCTGCTCCCACGGCCAGTGTCAGAGTCCGTGGGCTTCTACCGATCTGTGAGAATGAGAAAGTTCTATGCCACAGAATGTGTTTAGGTTGTTCCAGGTTCCAGGTAGGGAGAAAAGAATATTATACCTCAGAGACAAAGGGGGACTGAAGACACAAGTTCATTAGGAGTCCCAGGAGCATATACATGATGTCTCTAAACAGGTCCACATCCTCCTCACACCGGGCCTTTGGAAACAAGACAAGGTAACTCATGACCTTTCTGCCTTGCAGCTTTTAAGTCATCTCTTCCCCTTGGCAATGGTCTCAGCATTGCTCAAACTCCCTAATTGTCCATGTCATGAACCTAAGTGATGGTGGAAGATTGGAGACCAGTCTGAGTTAGTGTTAGTCGAGGAGACTCTCAAGGAGTCCCTTGTGCCTCTGCCATGTGACTATGGTTCAGCCTGGGCCTGTGTTTAAACAGTATAGTGAGCTGCTCAAACAGGTGGTCAGGCCAACGCCACCAGAAAACCCTTGCACCCTCTGCAGACTGAATAAGCCCTGATGAGGAGGACTTGTTAAGGCCAGCTACCCATAAAACTTGTGGTTACAGAAGGCATAAGCCACTGGGTCCAGCACCATCAAACAGAGTTTTTGGAAAAGCTAGCTAATTAAGAAGCCAACACTCCTACAGCAGGTAAAAAAAAAATCAGCTAAAATACCATGAGGCCCAAGCAGGCATCTCCAAATTCTTCAGAGGCTGACATCTGTCTTCGGGTGGCAGCCTCAGCACTGAGGTTTCCCATGATGGCAATACACTGGCTGAGAGCTGAGGTGTTGGTTACCGTGGGGTCTCTTTTCTAAAAGTGAATCAAGAGAAAGCACATGTGCAGAGAGCAGGCACACGGTGCCAGCATAATCTCAGGGGCATCCCTCGTTTACCAAATTGCCCGGGAACCAGAGAGTGCAATGTCCCACGGGGGCATCGGTGCGGTTGTGCTGGCACAAGGGTGGAGGCACACAGGGGAGACCCCAAAGCACCTTAGTCTGGAACAGAGAGGCCTTGGGCTCAATCGTGGGGTTACCACCAACCAGCTTGGAGAACACGGGCAGTCCCATCCATTCCCAGAGCTTCTATTTCTACATCTGAAACACTGGGCTGTGGACATGCAAAGGGCCCTGAAACGTCAGTGGCTCACTAGGGAGAGGGAGAGTTGAAGCACACTCTCCTGTACACTCCCATCCCCTTGCTGTGTTCTGCCTCATCAGCTCAATCCCCGTACTTGCCCTCCTGACCAGATGACTTCTATTCAGGGGACAGGGGTGCACATGGCATTTGGATGAGACTTAGGGTCAGAGGGGGACTGATGAACACTGACACACTCTCTCCACCTTCATCTAAGATGCAGAGTCCACTTTCAGCTTTTTCTGCCCTGCAATAAGCCCTGTCCATCTGCCTTCTCCACCTGTCCCAACTATGGTCGTTTTAAAAACTAAGAATTGTGTACATTGAAGCTGTGAATAAACAACAAATCTGAGAGACAATAGGAGTTCTGGAGTACAAATTGTGTTTCAATGACTCTGCCCATGCTTCTGAGAGTCTGTCATAGAGGATAAAAATGGGGACTTGCTCACCAGAACGCCTGTGAGTGCCGGGAGAACATCTGGAAGGTTGGCCTGGAACCAGACTTGGAATCTGTTGAGAAAACATCAGCCATGGCTTATTTCTACATTGTACAAACTATAAGATAAATACAGTGTCTCAGGTAATGGGATGAAGATTCGTAAGCTCTGGGTCCCTTTGATTTGCAGTGTGCCTGGGTTTCATTCTGAAACAAGAGAATGTCCTTAGGTAGATAACGTGACTTCGACTTCTCTGACACTGAAGGATTGCCTCGGACGTTAAATGACAGACCTCAGACCTCAGAAGGCAGCACTCGTGCAGAAATTGCTGGAATCCATAGGCTTCTGCCATGCTGACCTGCCCCGGCCCCCACCCTCCGCTGCCTCTGAGTCTACACTCTGAGCTGCACAACAGGAAACACAGTGCAAGCTGTTTCCTTGTCACAGCCAGGAGGAGGCCCAGACACATACACGTCTGTAGATGCTACAGCAGCTAGTACATTCCCAGCCGGTGCCAAGGGCTGTCTAGGAGCACAAGCAGCTCTCTTTATGATCATTTCTAAGCAAGATGTCCTAAAATTGGTGAGGAAATTAAAAACAAACAAACAAACAAACAAACAAACAAAATGCACTGGAAAAAAACCACTTAAGAAATATGAAAAATGTAAGACCTTTACTGTGTTCCCTAGCAACTAACCAAAAAAGGCGGGTTTGGTTACCCATAATGCCACTGGTAACCCAAGGCGAGCCTATGTTTTACTGGGCATTCTCTCTCTTTCTCACTCACATTTACTCAGTACACATTTGCTAGGCAGTTCCCATTCGGTGCTGATTAAGGGGAAGAAGCTTCTCCAACACACAGTAGACTTGCTTACTGTGAGAGGTACTGTTTTAAGTGAGTTACTGCCTCCAACCCCATTGTGGACTGGGTCCCTCTGCCCCTAGAGGGATGGGAACAGCTCCTAAGGGCAGCCCTGACCACAGCCCCCTGGAAGGCATCAGCCCTCTTACTCAGTGAATCTTGCGGTGCTTCAACAAAGGTTGAAGAAGAAATGTCAATTTCTGTAAATAAAAATTACCCTTCTTCCAGAGCCAAGTCTGTGAGCAGTCCCATGGCTGAGTCGGCCTTCTTATCGGAGAATTCAAGAAATGACACCAGGGCTCCCAACAATCTGCAAGAAACCCATACCAACCTCACAGTGGCTGTCCTCCAATTGACAGTGTTTCCAGCAAGGAGGCCTTGCAAGAGGCCAGGAAGCAGTCAGGTGAAATAGGCCGAAGGAGTGGCCTCGCCATGCCCTCTGAGGGAGCCCAGCTCCTCGCCCACCCCAACGAGACAGACACTCTCCTACTAGAATGGCTCTACCACCTAACGGGAAGTCCCGGGCGTTGAACAGCTTTAACCAAAGTTCACTGATTATCAGATGACAACTTGGAAGGAATCTCTGGTGCTTCTCCATGTAACTCTGGCTTGGCCAAGTTCAATCACATAAATGACATCTAAATGGCATGCTTACTAATCTGCTGATGATTAAAGTAGAAGGGCCCCTAATGAGGAGGTGATGAAATAAAAGATTTCACAAGATTTTGACAGGCTGCTGAATATATTAGATGAAATTTAATACAGTTACACTCAAACTCCTCCACTCAGAGCTGGAAACTCTGTGTAAATCACAGCATGGGAAGACCTGCTTTATAACTGGTTCATATGAAAAAGACTGAAGGGTTATTAGGCAATTACAAGTTCATTATCAGCAAGTAGTTGGTGGAGCTGCCAAAAAAAAAAAAAGCTAGTGCAATCTCAGGATGCACTAGCAGACGAGCCCCAGGATGAAGTCAGAGGCATCTGTCCACCCAGCAGACCTGTACTAGCACCCACAGTGCACTGAGTGCTGTGCTCAGTGCTGGGACACAGCACTAAGCACCTGGTCCCCTACAGCGACATATGTGTGAGGTGATATGTTAGAAATGGACTCATGTAAAGTGGGCACAAAGTCTACCTGGTGGGAGGTGTGGGAGAATGGAGATGAAGATGGCTTCAAAGAGCAGACGACATTTCAGCTGTCACTTGAGAGTGTACTGTTGAGTCAACACCACTTACTGAGCACTACGTGCCAGGCAATGTAGTAGGTTCTCAGGTTACCATGATGAAAAAAGACACTATCCAGCTCCAAGGAGCTTGCTGGCCAGTGTCAGGCACATGGAGATAAGAGTGGAGCATTTCAGGCACAGCGCACAGCAGTCACAAAGGTGACAAGGTGTGAAAGAGCAGAGCGTACTTGGGGACTGCTAGCAGTTCCTGACAGCTAGTGCTTATGGTGTGAGGACAGGATAGGGAACAGTGAGCTGGACAGAGCCAGCTGGGTCATGGTGGGCCTTCTGTGGCCTGCTGGATAGTTTGTAGGACTTTACCCTGCAGGACTACCCATCCTTTACCCTGCAGGACTACCCGTCCTTTACCCTGCAGGACTATGTGTCCCCAGTGTGGTTGGTAGAAAACTTACTTGGCAGTGGTGTGTGTGAGTGTGTGTGTGTGTGTGTGTGTGTGTGTGTGTAGGGGGAGGCAGGTTCTTGAGCCCATTTCAGTTTCTGAGAGGAAGGAGGCTGTATTTAAACAAAGTCCCAGATGATTGCTGGGCACTACATTTCTCAGTAGCTGGAGAACCAGTCTTATAGGCAGTAGTCATTTTAGCATTTTAAGTAGGAAAATCACAGAACAGATATGCACGTTAGATCCATTTGGTGGTACAGCAGAGGCTGGATTGGAGCAGGTAGTGTTGGAGGCAGGAAATTCATTGGGAGAAAATGGGGATTGTCAAGATTAAAGGTTAAGAGACTGAACCAAGGTGGAGGCAGAAGAAGAGGTACAGTGGACAAAGGTGCTCACAAGGATCTAGAAGGAATGCTGGGAAATGTTGGAAAGGAGCCAGAAGGAAAGGAATGCAGGAGATGCTGAGGAGCTAGGACTGACAACATATCATCATCTTACAGATGCAGGGGGAGACATCCAGGGGAGCTCTCAGGATTCAGGCTTAGGCAACTGGCTGGATTGAAATGCTACCTATGAGGTCACAAAATTCAGGCAGAGGGTCTGGTTTCAAAAACCAGTTTGGAATTAGTAAGTCTATGGTACTTGTGCTGTTGAGATGGAGATGTCCAGTGGCAGAGCGTGTTTCCTTCTAGCACTTTTAAGAAAGAGAGATGCTTATAGGCGATAAGTAAGGCCATGGATGACAGAAGGGCCAAGGGCAAGGTCCTGGGATCCCTGGCTTAGCAGGGTGACAACACAAAGGGGACTCAATAAGGAAACCAAGAAGGAAACACCCAGTCAGGGGTAGGAAAAGGGCAAGGAAGAATGACATCAAGAGGATCGAATGCCATCAGGCAGGAACGGGAAAAACAGGCAGAAAAGAGCCCATGAGATAGGGCTCTTGTATTCAGGAGTGCAGGCTCCTGTATTCAGGAGTGTGGGCTCCAGTCACCTACATCTGTGCTACTGGATTACTTAGCAGCTTTTTCCAGGAGGGTTCTGGGAGTCAAATCGCCTGAGGAAAACCAGGATGCCTTTCCTGGAAAAGACCAGGTTACCTCAAGCATGGGAAAGTGGGAGAGTTGATGCATTCTGTAGGCCTTCAATAGACACAACTAAGGCCTCAGTATCGAGAGGCAGAATGGTTTCAGACTGCAATGGGGCAGGCAGTTTGTATTCAGTGAAAGGAGATAATTTTTCATCAATAAAACCCTCCTGGATGGGAGGAACTGCCTTGGGAGGTGAGAACTGCATCCTTTCCTTAGCTGGGGAAAGACGCCCCCGCCCCCCAGTCCATTAGCTACTAGAGTGCCCACCCCAATCAAATTGAGAGAAATATAATGAAAATGCTGGAATCTTTCCTGGAGGCATCATGCACACCATGCAAATATGTGCTGGGATGCCCAAGAGGGGACATGGGTGCTAGGTGGGGCTGGAATGGATTGTTCATAGGTCCCAGGTAACTTCAAGCTTCTGCAAATCCCCATCCCGCTTGCGATTGTATTCCAGTGTTCTTGCTGTCATAAATCACTTATTTTACAGTTAGTTCAGATTCTTCCTTCACCGATTTAAATCTGTTGTCCTCATTCTCAAAGGTGAATGCTAATGAATCTGAATAGCACAGAAGAGGAGCTGGCAGTTTAAGGTCACCCTGGCTTTTGTCCTGGGAGACATAAACAACCAGCCTTCCTAATCCTGTGACAAAATGCACACACTACCTGGACTAAAGAGAACAGGGGGTTCCGTCCTACTCCTCATCTCCTCGTTTGTTAGTATACTTTCTGCTTTGCTCACAAGCTGCTGTTGCAGAAGATGGACCACACATCAGAAAATGATCTACTGTAACCAATAAATGCACTTTTGTGTCAGTTTAGGACCCTGAACAAAAGACCTTGAAGAGAGAAAATGAATATAAAAGTTACTGAATCCACACCATGTGTCAGGCACAACACTAGCTGCTTTTTTAATTTTTACTGTGCTGTGTGCTATTTGCTGGCCAACCCCACAGAAACCCTAGAGATGCCAGAACAATTTTGCCAATCAGAGGTGGCATGGGACACAATTCTGACCAAAGGGAAACAAAAGCAGTGGTCTCTCTTGATAAAGGGGACAGATCTGGCTGGTGTTCACCTGTCCTAAAGAGGAGGTGGTGCTTGGAGTTGCAGCAGCCTGTGTGGTCATGAGGGAAGGGTCAAAAGGAGGACAGAAACCTTGATTCTGACATCTTTGCGCCACTCAACCAGCTGTTGCCATCTTTAGTCTCCTCTGCTATATGAAGAAAACAAGACCAGCTTGTCTGGGTCGAGCCTTCTGTAGACTGCAACAGGAAGATGTTTAACTGGCATGCATGCCTTTCTCCTCTAAGCTTCTTCATAAGCCTGTTAGAGACAAGCAGAGGATCTGGGCTCAAGACTGCTTGCATCTAAAAACCTAGTTTTTTCCATGAAGCAACACTGGCCCTTGCTTGGTCCTGCCGATGTACACTTTGTCCTTCAACAAATGATACAGAGGAAAGCGTTCTCGGAGGAATGTGGTGTGTGTGCCTCTCTATGAGGTAATGGAACCTGTGTGCATCCCTGTCCTGCTTAAAACCATCTCATTTCACTTCAGAGAACACATTCCATCTCTTTCTGGTTTAACCGAGGACAGACATTAATGAGAATAGCAGCCATTAAGGTAATAAGCTAATGTTTTTTTTGACTGTCTAAAGAGAGTAGGTAGGACTTCACAGGATGATCATAAATGCCACTCTCCAAGACACTGGAAAAATTTAAATTGAAACTCAAGCAATTCAAAGATAGCTTAGGGGGGGAAAAGCTTCGGATAACTATAGCTACATTTACTCAGACACCAAAACCAATAAAAAACACATGATGAAGGTACTGAGGAAATGACTGCAGAATCATCTGAATGTGGAATGTGCTTTTGACGATTTGACTCTGCAAATGATTCACTTGACTGTGCAGGCCGAGCTTCAGGGGGTTGCCCCCACCTTTTATAAGAGCCACTAGGGCTTGTGACTAGGTCACAAGCTGGGGGCTTAACAAGCACCCATCCTTAGCACACAGCAGGACTCCCCACCTACGTGGGACAGGTGCTGGAGGTCCCACGGACAGTTTCAGATTTGGCCATTTGTCTTACTGGGAACAGAGTGTGGGAGCCTTTAAAGCCTGGAGACAGCTGGTGAGATACCCTCTGTTACCAGCTGCAGTCTCTCCTGCCCTGGTGTGAAATGGAGCAGTAACACTTATCTTGTCTACAGAGATTAAATGAGATAATAATGAAAAGAATCAGAGGCCAAATTCTGTTTTTGGATTATGTAAGAAGCACTTACAATGCAAGCTATAATTATTGCTACTGTTTCTATTAGGTTGAATAAATTACATGAAATTGCCAATATGCACTTTTGATATAAAAAATGGAAATTTCACATGTTCAAACTAGTAATATTTAGGCTGCAGAGCAATGGGCAGAATCACTTTGGTTCAGTGATTTTTTTTCTGCTCTGTTCTGCAGGAACAGAGTGGAGCGTGGACTAAGTTGAAAGGGTAGAATTAAATGGCCTATTTGAAAGTTGGTTCCCAATCTGGTTTTGGGAGTGCTGGCCTTACATGGTCTGCAGGACCTGTGAGATGGAAGCATGCTCAGGAAAAGTGACACTGTCCAGGTACTAGGTTCAGACAGGAGTCTTCCTGCAGGTCCCTATCAGGGAGTGTACCTTTCAAAGGCTCTGTCTGTTATTGGTCCTTAACTAAGTCTGACGCCACTTCTTGTGCCAGAGATATGAGAAGGGAGACAGGCCAGTCTCAACTTGGCAAGTGAGTCTCTGAGATGCTCAGGGAAGATCCCACCAGCAGAGCCTTACCGGGTCAGGTCCAGGTGGCTGATGATCAGGCTCCGGCCATTCTCCGTCTGGGCGAGCTGCAGTAGCAGGGCCAGGCTCTGCTCCTGGATGGTCAGGACCCCCGAGGCCAAGAGGGAGGGCAGCAGCCTGCCTGAGTCAGGGTGTGTCACAAGCAGGCGCTGGTTTTCCTCTGTCAAACACAGGGATCATTCACCTTGTGCACATCATGACAGCAATTAAACCAACTCAATTCTTCTCTACTCATCTGAGAGGCAGGGCAATGAAATGTAAAGACATAACTCTCTGGAACCAAACTTCTAGGTCTGAATGATAAGGCAAATGACCTTAGCCTATCTAACTCCTGTGTGCTTCCATTTCCTTATCAGTGAAATGGGGAAGGTGACCAACCTAACAGAGCTGTCCTGAGGATTAAACGAGTGACCATAGGGTGTGCTTACAGAAGGGACTGGCGCAAATACATTAGCTACTATTATTCTTGTCAAAGGCTCCTTGGTATATGTATCTGGAAATGCAAGGAAATGAAAAGAAATCAGCTGAACTGTGGAATATCTTTAGATCATCAACTTTCCTATAATGGCCAAAGCAATCATTGAGTTCTTTCTGCAAAATCAGACTGTTCCCCAAGAACATTCATTACTAAAGCCTGCCCCCTCCCAGACTATAAGCTGTTTCCAGGGGAGTGGCATTGGATTTACCCCCTCACCTGGGTCCAAGTGTGTGAATTGTTTGAGGGCAGGCAGGGGAACAGCTGGAGTGTGAGGCTAAGCTATGAAACAGAGCAGAGTCTACATAGTTTTTTCTTATACTGGAAAACAACTGAAATAACGGAAGGAGAATAAATCTGAAAATAAAAGTCCCTGTCTTTGTGCCCCCTCCAGGTAAGCTCATCCTGAGAGGAGCTATTGCTCACCCCTTGAATGAACAATGTTAAAAAGGTTACAGTCACTGGATGGAAGGGGAGGCACTGGATGAAAATGATGAAGGGACTACCCAAAGAACATTCATGCATGACCCATGGACACAGACAGTGATGTGGGGATTGACTGAGGAAGAGGAGATGGTGGGGCTGGGTAGAAGAGTACAAAGGGAGAAAAAGTGGGGACAGCTGTAATAGCATAAACAAAAAAAAGAGAATACATTGCTGAAAAAAAATGATACATCCTACACTGTACCTGGCTTCTCTCTCCCACTCAACAACATACCATGGACATATTTCTATGTCCTTACTTTTAAGCGGTCCCTTGTCCTTTTTAAAAACTGCTTTGTACTTATTGAACTGAACATACCAAAATGTCATTGATCTGAGATGGAGCATTTACATCACAGGTTATACCTGACAATATATTTTCAGATATTAAAGAAAAAAGTGACCCCAAGGTTCACAGAAAGCAAAGTAGGATGCTGAAGAAAGTCGGGGTTATACAGAAGGACAGTATGTCCTGTTCACATCATGACAAAGCCCTATCCTCCCACTCCCCTGTAGGAGGGTTTGCAAAATCACAACCCGGGCATTACAGCATCCTATAGAGTAACAGGGCACCTTGGTAATGATATTAGTCTGAGCATAATTCCCTTTAGGGAAGAAGCTTCTGATTCTCTGGTTTTCTAGAACTCAAGATGATTCCTCCATTTTACTAAATCAAGAAAAAAAATTTATTATCTTATATTTAGCATTTTCTAGTTTACAAACTACATCCACAAGCTCTACCACTGGTTTCTCACAGGAGCCCTGTGAAAAGGAGACACAGCCATCATTATTCTCATTTTCAGTGTTTAGTGTCCAATGTCAGATATTTTCCTATAAAAATAGTTTAAAAAAAAATAAGGGAAATAGGGCAACTTTTTATTACACCGAGGTCACAAAAGTGATCAGATTCTGTAAAAACTTAGTAAACCCCAGCCCTGGCAAGTGTGGTTCAGTTGGTTGGAGAGTTGTTCCATGACCCGAAAGGTTGAGGGTTCAATTCCCAGTCAGGGTGCATATGAGAGGCAACTGATCAATGTTTCTTGCAGTGATGTTTCCTTTCCTGTCTATCTCTCTCCCTTCACCTCTCTGTAGAGTCAGCGGGCATGTCGTCAGGTGAAGATAGAAGCAACAACAAAAACTTAGTAAACCCCAGAAGATGCTAATACGTAAAAAGCTAAAAGTTAACAAGGTAAATAAAATCTCTATAACATTTTACTGTTCTAATATTACACACTAATCAGTGTCACAAGATGCTGGCAGAGATGACTGAAAAGCTCATGATGCTAAAATGGGTAATGCAGTCAGCAAAAAAATAAAATAATTAATAATAATAACATAAAAAATTATAAAACAGTATTTTTAGGCAGACAGGAAAGGAAAAACTCTGACACCGCACTGCTAACACATGAGCAGATGTCATGAGTCTGCAGAGAGCAGAGCAAATGCCCAGGTGGTGAGACCACTCATTATGCTAACAGTGACCTTGGCCATGGTGAAGGCAGCTATAAGGATGCCAGAGACATAACTGTAGTGCAGGCCTTGTTTCTGATCCATATGCTTTTTCTCTGGGGAAACAACCATGCCTGCCCATGGAGGTCCCATGTTAATAGGTATTAATGATGGTGAACTGGATCTGGGCTTACCGTTCCCGCTGCACACTGCTTGCCAGAGCCTGAGAACGGACACACACACAGTCTCTTCCACAGTATCTTTTCCTGCTGTGGAAAAGCACCTAGAATGGAGAAGAGAGAACAATATTAAAACTGGAAATCAGTCTTGATCTTTTCATTTCATTTTATTTTTACCAACAGAGTCCTATAATGTGGGGTTGAGAAAGTAATTTTATAATTCAGAGCTGTAGGTCACCAGGACCAAAAAACCACTAAGCACTGAACTGAGAGCTGCAGGACAAGGCTGCAGGCTGAGGAAGTCCGGGCTGCATGCTGGGTGGGTGGTGAGCCAGGGCCTGGGGGCACTGGTCACACCAGGACCACTGAATGCTGGGCTAGCACCCCACTTAGGGTTCATGGTCCTCAGCACTCATGCAAACATGGGCTGGTGGTTCAAACCCAGAGCAGTGTTCTGAGCCTCAGAAACTACAGCAGAATAACTGAAATACAACATAAAATAATTTCAGCAAACAACTTCCTGTCATATGCGTCTTTCTTAAGATGAATTTTAAATAGGATCAGTCAAGATCCAGCTGATCTCATGTATGGAAATGATCAGCAAATTCCAAAAGAGGAGAAGAACAAATAGCAATCTTGTAACTGGTGGGACACCAGCAAAAATGGCCATTTCTCTGACTTTGAAGTGCTTGGAGAAACCTTGAGAAGCTTCGCTAACCTTTTCTCACTGCAGTTAACTGTGGCACAGTGCAAACTACCTGAGGCTCAAAGTTCAAGGGGTGTTCACATAGCATCCCTGCACTCTTCAAGGAGCCACTAATGTTGACTGATGGTGGTATCATCCAGTGGAGTCTCTGCCTGTGTGATCAGTGTCTGATTTCATGACAAATGGTTCTTTCCCTTGCTTTCGTGCTGGCTATCTCTACAAACATCCCTACCTTTTTATGACTTCATTCCCACTGATTATACTGAATCCGTTATGTGTTCTGAATAAAGTTCGTTCTGTGCCTGAAACAGATTCAGAGGAAACCCTGTCAGACTCCTGAACTGTCCGGCTGATGGCTAGCTGTAACAGAGCTAGCGGATAATAAGGAGCCCGATATGAAATGTCAATTCACCAAATTACAGTTTGGGCAGAAACAAATACCTTTACATTCTGAAACCTACAGCTGTCACCTGCCATCCAGGGCCCCAGTGGGAGGGACATCCTGTTCAGAGAGAGAGCTGAGACTGGTGGCCCTGTGGGGCCATATCTGACAACTCATCATCCTGAAATCTCCAGGAGCTGCTCAACCTCCAGGAAGGACTGGCATACCTATCTGTTCTTCAACATTTATTCTGAAGCTGTTTCCATGCTCTATGGAGACGTTTATAATTCCCAAGGAACTATAGGAGGGAGTATGTGAGCACCCCCATTATACAATAACAGGAAGTCAGAGACTCCATCTAGTTGTACCAACAACATCCTGTCACTGAGTCACAAAACGGTTTAAGCCCTCGTATCAATATTTACAAGACCTGGTAACAGCAGTATGGCTCTCATTAGCAGGAGGAGCTGGTGTTTGCTCTGAAACTGTTTACACCTCCTAAGCAACCATTAAATGTAACTGGGGAGAACCTTACAGTTGTTTATCCTACAAAAATTCCACCTTCCACATCCCTATGGTTGGGGGTTTGTAGGGGAAGTGCAGGGTGTTTGGGTGTATATGCAGAGTATGCAAAGGGTGCGTGGCTATGTTCAGGATATGTGGAACAGAATGGGGGGTGAATATGTGCAGTACATGATATGGTGTGATGTGTTATATATACACTATGGGTGTGTGAATGTGGTATATGTGATATAAGTAGATATGATGTGAGTGCATGTTCTGTGTGTATGTGATGTAAGTATACATGGAATGAGTACATGCTATGTATTTGTTGTGTTACATTGCACATATGTGCATGTGTGTTTATGGCATATATGTTGAGCACATGCATTCCCTGAGGAGAGGATGTAGCTGGGGTGGGGGTATTTTTCTTATGCACTCCCTTTACCACCTACATTATGTTTTCCATTAATGTTTGTGGAAGGAAGGGAGTCTTTGTCATGAGGGCAGACCTTTACACTCTGCCCCTTTACACCAACAACACGCTCACACACATCTCTGGCTTACAGTCCTTCATCATTTCGGTCAGGATTTCAATGCCCCCCGCATAGAACAAGGCATTCTGATCAGGCTTAGAAAGAGTCTCCAAGAGATTCTTGGTTGTTACGGCTGTGTTTTTTCCTGCACCCAGCAATTCATGGGCTTCCTTCTCTTGAAGGTCTGCTTTCTCCCGAAGATCTACTTGATTCAGGTAACCTGGCAAAACAGGGAGGGAAACAAAAAACCAACCCTTACATCAACATTACCATACAAGGAATAACCTTTTTGAAGATGGGACATTGAGAGGCATAAGGCATTAAAACAATTCAAGCTCATCTTCAGCAAGGAAGATTTTAGAAATAGTGTAGTCTGCACTCAGAACCTTAAAACAACTTGGGGGTGCAAGAATAACATTATTCCCTGTCTAGATGGCTCTAAGAGAGGATGGTGTAGAAAAGAGAAAGACAAAGATTTGAGTCACAAGGCAGCCTATTAACAGAGCACTGGTTGGCAGGCATGGCTGTGGCTTTGCAGCCAGGCGCAGAGAAGGTATGGAAGGCAGCCAGAGGCCAGAGCACAAAGGGAAAGTGGAATTCAGGTGAAGGATATTGAACATTCTCACCTTTCACCTGTGTCTGCAGCTGGGGGTTTATTTCTAACATCTTCTGAAAACACTCTCTGGACTAGGGAAAAAAAAAACACAAGACCTTGACAAGTGGTTAGGGGGCAAAGGTGATGATAAGAAAGACACTGGGTATCACAGGGCTCGGCTTCTTCCTTATTTCCTCCCCGCCTCCTTCTGCTCCCAGCATAGGAGGTAGGCACGGGAACACAGCACGTACTTGACAGTTTGTTTAGGCTTCTCTGGTTCAGTGAGGCAACAGGTATTATTTCAAGATTTATTTTTAAAAATAGTGTTGTCATATAGCCTGTGGTAAAAAATATCCAGTCCTAAATTCTTGGGGGTCATGTCTGGCTGGGATAGGAATAATCATAAGGTAGATACAATATTTGCACTGAGAGAACAGGAGGCTACCTGTCAGATGTGCCTATAGGGAGTAAAGAAATAAATAAAGTTCAAGACATTGTTGACAGAGGCTTGGGAACAGGTAATAGGAGTGCCCACTTAAAGGTACAGGGTTGCAAAGAGAGCTGATCATATAAGAAAGGGTCAGCTAGAAAACTTGAGAATGAGGGGCTCTCACTGGGGAAATTGTTAGACAGTAAGTTTCTGGAAAAAGAAAGTTTAGTTCATGGCACATGATGCTGGGTTTAGGGGAGTACTGTCCTCAGGGATGTCTAGAACTGCTCAGAGTGTAATATAACCAGGCACCAAGAGAAAAAGCCAGGAAAAAACAAAAACAAAACAGTTCTGAGCTATTGTGTTAGGCTGGTCTAGAAGGTTAGGATTAAGAAGTAAACTGAAGAAAAACATTGCATTGATCAGAGAACAGTGCCTCTGGGCAGAAGATGCATATCAAATATGGTAACTGCTAGAGACTAAATGTTTGTGTCCCCTCAAAATTCCTATGTTGAAACCCAAACCCCAAGGTGATATATTAGACGGTGGGGCCTTTGGGAGGTAATTAGGTCATGAGGATGGAGCTCTCATGAATGAGAGTAATACCTCTATGAAAGAGACCCCAGAAGGCTCACTCACTCTTCTGGTTGTTTATGAAACGGGAAGCAGGTCCTTACCAGACACCCAATCTGCAGTGTCTTCACCTTGGACTTCCCACACTCCAGAACTGTGAGAAACAAATGTTTGTGGCTTAAGCCCCCTGGTTTATTGTATAGCAGCCCAAAAGGACTAAGACAGTGACCTTATATCAAACTTCTTTTAACTCTAGATCTAATCTACCAGCAATTCCTGTTGGCTTCACTGTTGGTATATATACAGAATCTCATCACTCCATCATCACCACACTGGTCCAAATTATCATCTCCTCACTCGGATAATTTGTTGCAATAGCCTTACAACTAGTTCTCTGTTCTTTTACTGCCATGCCAAAATATATTCTCAATATAGCAGAGTAAGCCATTAAAACATGAGGCAGATCATTTCACTCCTTCACTCAAAACCTTCTAACGACTCTCAGCTAACTCCAAGTAAAATCCAAGGTCCTCCCAAAGCCGGCAAGGTCCTTGGGGTTCAGTCCCCCACACACCCCATCACCTGCCTGACCTCTTCTCTTATCATTCTCCTCATTGCTTGCTCCATTCTAGCCATCTCTTCATCTGGACCACTCCACCATTATATATCCACATATTTTTTTTACCTCACTACCTCCTTTGCTTTAAAAAGGTCCTCCCTGACCACTCTATACCTTCACTGCTTCCTGATTTAGTTTTTCCAATAACACTAACACTAAACAACATATGACACATCAATTTAATTTGATATCTGTCTCCTAGCCACCCCTACACCCAAGAATATGAGTTCAATTAAGTTTGTTCATTACGGTATTCCTGTTGCCTAGGGCAGTGCCTGGAACATAGAAAACATGCAATACATATATACTGAGTGAAATAATTGCATGAATAAATGAGTGAATAGAATTTGGCAGAGAGGGGAAGATGGACTTTTTTTACTTCTCTATTATTGATCTTATTACAATAAAACTGCATTACTTTTAGAATTAAAATCCAATGAAGAAAATAATTTAAAAATGTATAATAGGAGGCAACATTTAAAAAAATTGTTTAAATTTATTGATTGTTGAGAGGGGAAGGAGAAAGAAAGGGGGAGAGAGAAAACATCTATTTGTTATTCCACTTATATATGCATTCACTGGTTGATTCTTGTATGATGAGTCCTGATTAGGGACTGAACTTGCAACCTTGGCATATCAGGATGATGCCCTAACCAAATGAACTACCCAGCCAGGGCAAACGTAGTTTCTTTTTAAAAATATAATATCATGTAAATTGAAAGACATTCCATGCTCATGGATTGAAAGACTTAACATTGTTATGATGGCAATACTCCCCAAATTGATCTACAGATTCAATGTAATCTCCATCAAAATTCCATTTGGCTTCTTTGTGGAAATTGACAAGCTGATCCTGGATTTGTATGGTAACCAAGAAACCCAGAATAACTAAAACAATCTTGAAAAGACAGAGTAAACTTAGAACACTGTTTCCCAGTTCAATATTGACTGACTGCAAAGCTGTAAGAATCAAGACAATGTGGTATGAGTGTAAGAACAGACATATAGATCAATGGAACAAAACCGAGGGTCCAGAAATAAACTCATGCGTTTATGACCAACTGATCTCTGACAAGGGTGCCAAAATCAATCAGTGGGAGACAGAAAGTCTTTTGAAGAAAAGGTGATAGGTGACTGGATATCCACATATAAAAGTGGGAAGCTGGATCCCTTTCTTATGCCATACACAAAAATTAACTCAAAGTGGATCAGAGATCTAAATTTAAGAGCTAAAACCATAAAATTTTTAGAAGAAAATGGAAGTAGATCTTAGATTAGCAATGATACCAAAAGCATAAGCATCCAAAGAAAAACATAGGTAAATTTAGACTTCATCAATATTAAAAATTTTGTCCTACTACAAATGACATCATCAAGAAAGTGAAAAGACAACACAAAGAGTAGTAGAAATATTTGCAAGTCATTTATGCAATAAGGGACTTGTATCCATAATACAAATATGGCAAAGGATCTGGAGAGACAATTCTCCAAAGAACATATGCAAATGGCCAATAAGCACATGAAAAAATGCTCAACATCATTAGCAAGTAGGGAAATGCAAATCAAACCAACAATGAGATACCACTCACACCCACTAGGATGGCTATAATCAAAAAGACAGATAATAACAAGTACTGTTATTTCTCCAGGATGTGGAGAAACTGGAACCATACACTGCTGGTAGGAATATAAAACCATACACTGCAGTTTCCGTAGGAAACTGGAACCATCCACCTTGGAAAACACTGGGCAGTTCCTCAAAAGGCTAAACATAGAGTTACCATGTGACTCAGCAGATCTACTCCTAGGTATTGTAAATGTCCACATAAAAACTTGTACGTGGTTGTTCATAATAGCCCAAAGTGGAAACAACCCAATTGCTCATCAGCTGATGGATAAACATGTGGTCTCTCCATACAATGGAACATTATTCAGCAATAAAAGGAATGAAGTGCTGTGCCACAACATGGATGAACCTTGCAAACATTACGCTATGTGAAAGAGGCCAGCCACAAAAACCCATACACTGTATAATTCTATTTAGATGAAAAGTCTAGAATAGGCAAATGTATAGAGACAAAAGCACATTAGTGGTTGTCTAGGGTTGAGGCTGGGGTGGAGGGATGAGGAGTGACTGCTAATGGGTATAGGGCTTTTGGGGGGAGTGACAAAAATGTTCTAAAATTGATTGTAGTGATGGTTTCACAACTCTGTGAATATACTAAAAACTGGTAAATTGTATATTTTACAGAGAAAAATTATTTGGCATGTGAATTGTATTTCAATAAAGCTGCTGTTAACAATATATAATACCTTGGTGTGAATATATACCTGCACGATTGCTTTTGGGTGATGAGATTACAAGTAAATTTTGTTTTCATTTTTTTGCTTTGCCTTTTCTCTTAAGAAATGCTTCTCCCAGGGCTCTGTGAACACTGGCAGATACTGCAGAGTGGTTTCTACAGCAGGTGGGCTGTACTAGATGACCCTTAACATCCTTCCCAACTCTAAGATCTAAAGATTTACCCTGGAAAATACTACAAGGTGGATTAATATCTAATCAACTTGGAGGAGAGACAATCTGAAGCAGAGCTCTGTGATCGATCAAACATGCCACTTACATTCCTTTACGAACTTACCACACTGTAGTTCTTTAGAGCCAGGTGAGCTTTTCCCATGTGGAAATATGCTTTGGTGCATTTTTCATCACACTGCATAAAAGAGAGTGACTAATTAGATGTTTCAGATGATTTGGAGTCACCAGCACTTCCCTGCCTAGTTAATTGAGTGAAGGACAAGCTTTGTTCTCAGGATAGCTCCTACAGTTGACGACTAAGACTTTTCCATGCATCTGTGACCAGGCTGTCTGCAAGGAGCCTGGATACACAAGAAGGCTCTCTATCAAGCTGACTAATGATACTTGTCAGTTTTCCTTTCCATTTAATGACAGTCAGGAAACCAGAAACCCTTAGTTTAGAAGACCTCTTGACCTTAGTGGGACATAAGAATTACCTGAGATGCTTATAAAGCTTCTGACAGCCAGGCTGAACCCCACACCAATTAAACTGTACTATGGGGTAGGGCCCAGGCATCAATATTTTTTTAACTCTCCAGGTGATTTAAATATGCAGCCAAGTTTGAGAACCACTGCTTTATTAGAAGACAGTACAATTTATTCTGGGTAAATACTATTACATCTCATTAGGCCTGGGAAGTCCCTCCCCTGAAATAAACTACAACATATATACCGGAAGCTTGTACTCTTATCATGTAAGGTCAGGAGGGGTGCCTTCAAAGGGGAGGATGGAAACCTAGGGCCAAGGCTGAACCATGTGCATGGGGGCTCTGCACCTGCCTGCTTCTAACTATTATAACTCCAGAGGGAACAACTAGCCCAGAAATACAAACTGTCATTTAAAACATCCAATTAAGTAACTGAATCCCTTTTAGGTGCAAGGCATCACACTGAGTCAGGTGCCCTTCAGAGGTTTCGATCTAAGGAGGTTACGCGTGAAGCTCAGGAGTCTAAAAAGCCCTGGACGAACTCCTGGCGTGCCTCTCACCGGAAGTGGGATGCCGGCCAGGCTGCCTGACTCTCCTGATGCTTATATTCTTCAAAGGAATAATTATCTTCAGTGGCAAGTGAAGATAATTATAGTGTCTCTCTCCCTCTCAGGCTGTTGTGAGGAAGAAACACTTGTAAAACATTAGTGCAGTGTCGGTAATATGCTATCAATGGCTGTTGCTGCAGTTACAATAGCAATCCATTTCAGAACCAAAAACAATGTAAAGAAAAGCTAAATAACAATAGAAGTAATAGCAATAATTGTTATAGGAGAGCCCTTTATAGATGAATGAATTTTTATAAATATCATTTCTTGATTTGTTACTAAGTGAATGGCAGTATAATAGTAATGATGGTGCGTTAGTGTTTAGTCTTTCCCATAGGGTTCAAATACATTACTTCATACAAACCTTATAAGAACTCTACAAAGTACAGTTATTATGCCCATTTTACAGATGAGGAAACTAAAGATTGAAGAAGTTCAAGGTCACATAGATGCTAAGTGAAAGAGCTAGGATTTAAAATCTGGCCATTTGATTCCAGGCCCCAAAGGCTTAAAAATTACACAAAAAACTCCTTCAGAAATGTGCTACAGCAGTTCAGTAGAAGGAAGTACACTCCAAAAAAATATAGCCTAACAAAGAGCATGCAAAGAGGAGGGATCAGAGCTGGATCTTGAATGATATGGAGGTGAAGAAAGAAGGATGAAGGGACAATGGAGTGAGCAAGGTCCAGAGGTCGAAGAGGACAAGGGGCTTCAGTGGACAGTCCAGAACAAGGAGCAGGTGTGAGGCAGAGGGAAGAGCGGGCTGGAAGGGGTGAGCTAGAGAGTGTGCCCACGTGGGGGCCTTGAATACCAGGCTAGAGGAGGATGTGATCCGTGGCCGTGAGCAGGAAAACTGGTCTGGAGGCAGTGTGCAGAACTGACTAGAGGAGGAAAAGGCAGAGAGATAAGGGAGGAGACCAAAAAATCACTTCAAATGAGGGGCTAACAAGTGATGTCCCAGTGACAGTGGGAGTCAAAGTGCAGATGCCAGAGCTATGTCAAAGAAAGAATTGAGCAGCATCAACTAACAATAAATGATAGGGGTAAAGGAGAATGTCAAGTTAAAAGTTCAGAGTTCAGATGCCTGGAAGACATCATGTGCCATCAGCAGAAAGAGGTAGGTCAGTCCAGGTTGGGTGGGAAAATGAAGAGGTTGTTTCAGATGATGCCCAAACACACAGATGAAAACCTGCAGCCCTGGGAGATCAGGTCTGAGAGCCATTTGCAGAGATGAGAGTTGAACCCATGAGAGGAAACAAGAGTTTTGAGGGAGAAACTGCAGAGTGAAGAAAGGCAGGGAGCCAAGAACTGAACCCTGGAGACTTCTCAGAGTGGGGAATAGAGGAAGCAGGAAAGGCATGGTCAAGGGAAAACAGAGGACTGTAGTACTGCTCACGAGAGCCCATGTTTGCAGAACCAGGTCACAGTGAGGAAAAGCAGGCCCCTGAGCCCGGTCCTGCCTTCTGTGGGTCTATGCAATGAGGGGTCGTTGGGACTACCTTCCTCAGGCACTGAGGCAGAGGGCTGCTAATGGATTTTCCCCTTTTCTTCTCTGATTATGTGTTGACCGGCACCAGGATTATCTCAGGTGAATCCCATCCCCCCTTAAAAGGAATCCTGCCTCCAGAAGATGTGTTTTATTGTGCAGGAAGTGTTGTGCTGAGAAAGCAACTGACCCCAGTGGAAACCAGCTTTGCTGCCTTATCTTCCCTGACAAGGAACATCAGTCTTGAAATTCCATTACATGGGTTTGTCTCTGCCAATTCCCAAGTGTCAAAAATCTTAAATTGGTATGGAGGTACTAATACTATTAATAATGGAGTGCCACGGACACTCACTATTGATATATTACTTTTAAAGAGAGTGAAACCTTTTAATCGATAGCTCTGATGTAAAGCCAACCAATATCAGCTTTTAGAACTCCTTATACATTTTTTCCATTCCTCCAAGTGTTTACCCAAACATCTTCAAATGGGAGTCTCGCTGGGCATTTAATAAGGTTGGCTGCTGAGTGTCAGCATTTTTAATGTCAGCTCTGTTGGGCCTGCTTTTCCTGGGTTTCACTATTAATTACATTGTGTTTCCATTAACATGTGGGAACAGAGCAGTGTGCTATCCTGAATCAGCACGATGGTGTGATTTCCTCTTTGGTCCTTTTCAGATTGGAAAAGATACCCCTGGAAGCTCCAGGAGGTGATTTCATTTCTCCTCAGAAAGGAATGAGACCACCAGCCAGGGGTTGTGGGGGTTTAAGGTTTCAGTGAAGAGGCTGTTTTAGTAGATGGTTCAGAGCACCAGCTTACTGTTAGACCAACATTAGCCATGTGTGTGATCCTGCACAGGTTACTTAATTAACCTCCGAGTCTAGGTTTCCATGTCAGATAAATAAAGATAACAGTGGTATTGAACATAATACAACAGAACAATGTGAGGCTCAAATGAGACAGTACATGGCCAGCAAGCAGCAAATGGTGGTCTCTGCTGTTATTGCTGGAGCCACTGAGGAAAATGTCATTGTCCCTCTCTTCTCTTACAGAGAGATGGTTGAAAAACAAAGCATGACCCAATGAAGTGACAAAGCAGGTTAGTGGATCTATGCTAGAGCTGTGAAGACCCCATGTCTTCAGCTTTGGGCAGTTCCTGCAACATAAAGACTGCGACAATACCACAGGACAGGATTTGCTGCCATACATTCTAAGGGATAAAGAAATCAAGCATGCCAGATGGCAGCTTTGGAGGATCTTAGTGTTTCACAACCATTATTAGCAAAGGTGAGTTTCTAATTCACTCCTGTTTCCCTGGCTTACCCTTGTAATAAAAAATAAGGAAGTGGGTGTGGCCAATATGCTCCTGTCAGAATGTGGTCCAGTCTCGAGCCATGCGCTCCTTTGGCTGGGGTAGGTGTGCCACACTGGGGAGTCAAGTCATAAGAGAAATCTGGTACATTCTCCTGGTACTTCAGTTTTGCTTGATTATATTATTTAAAATAATATGAATATATTAAGACAAGCAGATAAATTTTATAGAGCGCAATGCAAAATTCACACAAAGTTTTAAGATAAAACACATGTCTAAAAAGAAATCTCATGCTCTCTGCTTCTACACCCTCCAGGGGTTCATGCTTGTGCTGTTAAGAGCTCTTTGGTGAGGAAGTATAAGAAGCACTGCTTTTTTTTCCCCAGTTAAAGTCCCTATGACAGAGTAATTTAGGCAGCATGGATTGAGGGCTATTTAAATATTTAGGCATCTGAAATAATGTCCCTAAGAAGTGATCTTAGGGACATTTCTTTTAAAAAAACTCTTCTAATATTTCTACCAACAGTTCTTATTTGTCCCTACCTTTAAATGTCTAATTTGGTAAATTTCAGACACTATGGTAAATACCAAGCACAATATTATGCTATCTGCCTGAGGCCTGACTAGTATCCAGGCTGACCAATAGGAATTCTTTTTACTACAAGAATTTTGTAGCATCCTCTACAAATAGAGGATGCTATACCACATCTCCAAGTTATTAGAGCTGGAGGGAAAAAAGCACAAACTGATGAGAAAGAATGACTTTGCAGAAATATGCTCCCATTGGCTCTAGAAAGAGGAGGCATTACCATTGTCACATGAAGCAAAGTTCTGATAATACAATAGCAAAGGATAAGCTGTCGCAACATAAGCCATGAAAAACCAATATTAACAGCGGCTTCTCTGGAGTACTGACTAAGCAGCATATATTTTACGTGTATTATCATAACCCTCAAACAATTCTATTCTATTTTATAGATGAAGAATTGAGGCTCTGCATGCAGCGCTTATACCCTTTCCCACCATGATACATCAGCAGCTCCTCTCTATTCACTTCAGGACTGAAGCATCTGGCCCGAGCAAGCCCAGCTCCATCATGTGGAAGAGAAAATACCTTCTTACCTTCAGAGCCCAATCACAATCCACCACTGCCTTCTGGTAGTCCCCAAGTTTTATGTAGGCCTGTAATGACACAAACAGCTGATATGCACATACAACTCAGTAGCAAGCAGTCTTTATTTAACACAGATAGAGCAGTCCTATAGTGATGAGAAGTAACTGGTCCATACCAGTATCAGTCAGGGTCCCAGCAGGTCACAGATAGCATACTCATGCTCAGGTAATGAGGAAAGTTTAATAAAGGGACTATTTACAAGGTGAGGGCAGGGCTTAGGACTTAGGACAGCAGGAATGTGCCAGAACCCTAGGGCTAGCAACAGTGAACAGCCATCACCATTGCTAGAACTGCAGGGGCAGAAGGAGGAGCAACGAACAAAATAGAAGAGGGCAGCTTTGTGAAAAGCGCTGCCTAATGGGAGCTGCAGCTTTTATTATAGCCAAAGCTGGGAGAAGAAATACCCCAACGTCACTGTCCTCCTTCCGTCTGACCTCATTGGCTGAACCCAAATGGAAGCTATAAGGCAGGGAAGTTAAGGGGCCAGTCCACAAAGTTCATTCCTCAGGGCACAGAGCAGAGCGGAGCAGGATCTGGAGCAGTAAAAGATAATACACAGCACACTGAACACATCTGCAAAGGAAGAGCTAGCTTCTAGAGTCTACACCCCTGTGAATAGTCTAGGAGGAAACCAAATGATAAAGGGAACAAAAATATAATAATAAGTATTGGCGATAATGTAAGAAAACTGGAGCCCTCATACACAGCTACTGGGAATGTTAAGATGATACAACCATTTTGGAAGGCACCAGTTCCTCTAGACTAAAGGTTACCTACTGTACCAGTTAGGTGCAGTAACCATATGATCTAGCAGTGCTCCTCCTGGGTATGTACCCAAGAGGAATGTAAACATATGTTCACAAAAAAAACTTGTACACCAGTGTTCATAGCAGTATTAATCAAGAAGTTGAAATAATCCAAATACCCATCAACTGATGAATGGATAAAATGTGGTATATCCAATACAATAGTATATTATTCAGAAATAAAAAGGAATGAAGTACTGATACACATTACAACATGGATGAACCTTGAAAAGATTATGTTAAATAAAAGAAGCCAGACACAATAGGTAAACTAGTATGTGATTTCACTTACATAAAATGCCCACAATTCGCAGATGTGCAGGGATAGAAGGTATAGCCAGTCTTCAAATAACATAATTTTGTTCAGTGCCACTTTGTTATATTGGTGAGATGCCATAGGAACTTAAGTTATTTATATCAATTACCCTAGGGTAAATTGGTTTCATCATACATCATTTTGCTTAAAGTTGCAGAAACTGGACATACCATAGATTAGTTGCCTAGGGCTAGGAGTTGGGTTCGGGGGGAACTACTTAAAGGGTTTCTTCCTGGGATGATGAAAATGTTGAGTGTGGTGATGGCTGCACAACTCTATGAACATACTAAACACAAGTGAACTGTATATTTTAAATGGGCGAACTGTATGATGACTATATTTCAATAAGGATGTTACCAAAAAAAGGTAAAGTTCGTCTTTCCTCATAAACACAGCAAGAAGAAAGAGATATAAGAAAGGAGCTGACATTTAAGAGTTAGACCATCACAATGAGTCCTTGGTACTCTCTTGAGACCTCCTAGAATTGGGGAAAATCTAGAAAATCAAAAATTAACTCAGAATTCAGTGATCCACTCAAACTAAACCAAATTTAGTTCACTTGGAGTTTCAAAGAATTAGTAGCGTGTAAACAGATGAAAGGTTGTCTAACAGCAAGCAAAATGGCTATTGTGCCCTCTATATTAATTACTGGACACAACAGGTGATCAATAAATTCTTATCAAGTTTCACTAAGTAGACTTTAAGTGCTCTTCTTTTGGAAAGTTCTTCACAAGCAGCAGTGATCACCCCATTATGTTACAAGAAAGGAAAGCCAGGCACCAGGAGAAAAAGTGCTCTTCCACAGTCCTGTCAGTCACCATGGTAGGAGTTCATTCTGCAAGCCAGGGGCCCAGCTCCCACTCGGAGATGCACAGGACCCACACCCACAGATAGGTTCTCCCATGGGGAATCAGGCCTGCCATGTGCCTAGGCCGCTTTGAGTCTTGCTCTTGCTAAAAAACTCCCTCACCCTGAATTGAGGACATTTATCGCAAAGTAACTTCCTAAAATCCATGCTAAACCTTCCAAGGATGAGTATAACCAGTTCAACCACTTTGCCTTTTCATTTGCAAATATCCCTCTTCTGTGATGTGATTCGCAGCATTGGCTCCTTTGTTTTCTATAAAAGGTAACCACTTACAGTGAACCTGTGCATGGTAAATGAGGACCATCATGTAATGTGCTGAGAAACCCAATAAAGGCCAGTCACAGGAAGGGCCAAGACTTTTGCTCCCCTTGAGAGAAAAGCCATGCTGTCCCTTTTCCTCCACTGGACTCAGTAGTCCGTGTGAATGTCTCATTTCGTCCATAAAGACTCAGACACTGCAGGCCAGTGTCTGCATCAACCACTAGTTCAGCCCATACTCCAAGTAGGTATGCCCATAATCAGAACTGTCCCTGGGCACTGTCACATTCTTATCAATAAATCTGATGAGGTATTTCCATGGTCAAGCCATTTATGGAGTCAGTGTTATAACTCATACGGAATGCCAGCATTCAACCGAAATAAGGAGGGAACAGGCAATAGACAGCTAATGAATTCCTGCAGTGCACCTCCTTGCATCACTAGAAAAGAAGCTGCTATGTAATGCTTTCATTAACTTGGATTCTGTACTAATTGAAGTGGACAACTTTGAGCTTTCTGTTCTATAAGGAACCATCCTTTCCTCCTGGGATGAGGGTTGCATTTGAAAGTCAGAGGACGTGAGAGGTAAGCTAGCATCCTTCTAGACAACTGTAGCCATGATTTCATGACATTGCTGTTTGGGAAACATACAGACTCTGAAAAGGTTTAAATGGGCTTAAACAATTTCTCTACCACCTTTTTCTTTTCTTTTTTTCTTCTGCTCTTTTTAAAGCCTGAATTCAACACTCTGTAACTTCCCCATTCTTTTGCTTTTCCACATTTTAAGAACTACTTTTTCCAAGTGATTTATCTAAATTACACCAGCAATCTATTGATCATAACATTAGCTCCAGGGGAAAAACAAAGTGACGAAAGGGCAGGTTTTCTCTCCAGCAAGAAGAAACACTCTATTCACAGGGTCCTCATTAAGTGTTTCTGAACACTGCACGCAAACAGGGAGGCATTTTAAAAATAGTCAATGATTTAAATGACTTGTAACACCAGGCAGCACATTTTGCATTTGTCTCCAAATAAGCTTTCTCTGGGGAAGCCGAGAGGAACTGTTTCCCCAGAGCTTTTATTGCTTTTACTTATTTTTTATCTACAGTCATTCTTGATGTGGTTCTCCAGAACTAATCAAAGTGCTGTTTAAACTTGAGCACAGTAAAAATTTAACTAATTTAGGTAAACCAGGGTATAGACCATTTGAATTAGATATGTCTGAATTATGTAATATTTGAAAAGCAATTCAATTTTACTGCTTTCAAATAACTTTAGAGTAACAAGACTGAACAAGAATCAGTAGGTAAATGTTTCAGTGATGAAGTGGAACTTTATTATTGATGCATTTAGTGATAAATAGAAAGGAACTATAATTATTATATTAATTGTTTGTGTTTAAGTGTTTCTTTTGAAGTGTCAACAGAAACTTAATTCCCAAATGGACTTCCTGTGCATCCAGTGTTACAAAATTTAACAGGGATTTATGGAACAGCTGCTATCCAACAAGCATTAGGGGACAAGCATATGGCAGTTTTTGCTCTCAGAAAGTTTATGATCTTGTTAGGGTGGTAAAGTGTACACTGCTAAATCAATCTTTGGCCATTTTGTTTACCAGCTGCTTCTTTATAACAATTTTTCTCCACAAATGGGCTGCGGTTAAGTGACATCTCAACTCTAGTCTAACTCCAGCTGCCAAACTAATAAGGTAATACCATGCTTGGGTGCATCTATCATTAAATTGCAGTCACTTCCCAAACTTTTTGGCTTCCTAAGGTCTCAACATACCACAGCAGGACATTCTTAACCTTGAATCACAAAAACTGGGAATGACGAGGGCTCTTCCTCTTGCAAATGGCCCTCTCACACAGGTCCTGCTGACAGATACTGACCACCAGATAATCACGTCCACGAATCCATCAGTTTTCCAGGTCTGAGCAACAGAGTTCTACCACACACAAACTCAAGTACTCGTCAAAGGTAACGCCACAGGTGACATTTTTGTTTCAACTGAGAATTATCAACCTTGTACCTTCAATTAAGTAGTAGATAATAAACATCTGGGTGATAGTTTTTACCTCACATTTCAGGAAACTGAGCTCACCTGTGATAAAATAAACTGAGGCATCAGGGATTTTAGAAACTCATAATTGGCTCTAGGCTATCAGTTACCCAGTCTACCCCAGTTGCAGAATCTTAATCCAAGAGGGATTGAGACAATGAGTAAGAAGCTAGCAGAAGAGGAGCCCTCAGGAGTTTAGATTACCATGACAAAAGAGGCTGGACAAATCCAGTGGTGGCAGAGTCTCAAGGTCTCATAGGTCATTTCATTCTACTAGTTTTCTCCTTTAAACTCATGGAAAAGTACCTGGTTACCATCAGTGATGCACTGGAGCTGACTTACACTAAGGAGAGAACTGATTATATATAGCTTTTACCAAGTCCTCCTTCAAAGATTTCAAGTTGGTAACTTGAAATTGGACCATGGTGAGACTATTTACACCATGGAAATTGGTGTAAAAAGCATGGCAAAAGCTCCATACAAATCAGGTTCCCCCACACTGAACCAGAGCCAGTTATTGTCACACCACTGGTACCTTCTAGTCTCATCGTTCTCTGTTTCACAAGTTTAGTGGCTCTGTTCCCTGAGAAAACCCTGTGGACACATTCTTGGCACACTGACCTGGGCTCGGTTGGTGTACAGCACTTTCATGTCCTTCAGCTTCTCCAAACCCTCACTGTAGCAGAGGATGGCTGTCTCATAATTGCCTCTGACAAAGGCTTCATTCCCTTTTTCTTTTAGGGCTATGAGAATAAGAGTTACACAGATGAGCTCTCCCCACACAGTAGAAAATTCAAACTTTATTCCCCTGATTTTCCAACCCTACTTTGAAGGCCACAGCTTGCATCAACCCAGATGGGACTTATCACTCGTTTCTCTCTTCAGATATGTCAGGGTTGGTTACTTTTGGGATTTTTTTCTCCAAATTCACCCCAAGTCTTCTAAGCTGCTTCTCAGAAAAAGTAAATGTTATCTGCCTGAAGGCTGAGAACCACTCCAAGTTTGCCACAGAGACCAAGTCTACAGAGTCAATATTTTATAAAAAGCGTCAAACAACTAATTTTCTAGCAAATATGGTATCATTCAGATCTGCAGCTCACATGCCCCTGGATAGTTTAAAAGTCAATGCTGAAAGCCTTCTCTGCCATGTGTGCCCCTGCCACATACACAACCTGTCTTTCTTTTCATCTCTCCTTTCCCTTCTCACATCTTTGTTTTCTTGATTCCTTTTTCTTTTTCACTTCTTCATCTATGCCTCAGGCTAGGCAGCAGTACCTCATTCCCGTCCCTCCCTAAGCTCCAAATATTGTTTGGTACTGCTCAATCTGACCTGCTCAATCTGACCTGAGGCTGGACTCTAGAGGCTGACTGACAGCTCTGCTCTGTGCCCTTTTCATTATATCAATGATCAGTGACAGGTGGTTCCTACCTGGCCAGGTCCCACTGCCTAGGCCCACCATGAACCCACCCATGGGAATCTTGAAGTCCTCAAACATCTGCAGAAAGGCTCATGTGCTCATTCTAGCACCAATCATCCCAGCTGCTGAAAAGTGAAGACTGACAATTACCATCTGCTAAGACTCTGTTTTCCCTTCTTCTCTTGGCACGTTCCTTTGCATCCTTCTCCATGGATGCCAAGAAGGCCTCTGCAAGCAGAGTAATTTCAAATATCAAAAAGAAAAATCCAATACTAAAATCAGTTCTTTGTGTCATATTCAGAAGAAAGCTACTTTAAAGCTTTAGAGCCACACTGCTCATGCACACATGCAGGTACACTACATACACACACGCACACCTGAAATGGCATCTTAATTCGACATGATGGTCTGTGTGATATTATTATATATGATGGCTATGTCTATGTTTTAAATTTGAATTATACTTTTAAAAAGAGTTTTTTCCCTGAAGACAGATTTCTTGTTCCATTTAGCACAATGAGCTTTTGAACCGAACAACATAGAAACTATCTGGATCCCTTGAGCAGCTAAGAGTACACTGGAAGATTCAGAATAACTGACCTGAGTTTACATAAAAGATTGGCCAGGAGAAAACAGAGAAAACCTCGGAGGGCTGTTGTCTCTGACAGCCAGTAACAGAACTGTGTCATCAGTAGGTTTTTGTTCATGGGTTGTTGTAAACCCAGAGGCTATAATCTGAGGGTCTGGGCTAAACACTGATCCTGCCCAGGCCAGGTAGCTCAGCTGGTCAGAGCGTCGTCCTGATACACCAAGGCTGTGGGTCTGATCATCAGTCGGGGCACATTAAAGAAGCAACCAAGGAATGCATGAATGGGTGGAGCAAATCAACCTCTCTCTCGCTCTCAAATCAGTAAGTTAAAACAAACAAACACTGATCCTAAAAAATGATGCACTTTGGGAAGAGAGATGCTGTCCTTACCTGAGTTTACTTCATCTGCATTCTGCAGGGTGCACAGGTTATCATAAAAACAAAGAAACAAATTTCAGAAACAACTCTGACTTATAAGTATACAAACCAAGAAGGCATTGATTACATGTGGGGAGTAGAATTGTTTCTTTAACCATCACTACTGAAGGGCCTAAAATTCAGGGAAACTGCTTCAAGTTGGGAGATCTGATTATGGGCACCATTGGCGTGGGACTAAGTCTGCGCCACTGGGCGTGACACTGTGTCACTGGGGTGACACAGACCGTGGCTGCGGCTGTATGAGTTGAACATATAAGTTAGTAGAATATACCCTAACAGTATAACTTAAATATGGTCACAAGCTTAGGGGGTTAGAGAGGTCAAACTGTCATTAAAACAAACTCAAATAGTTGTTTAAAGATGACCCAGAGGATCAAGGGAAAAAAATCAGAGTTTATACTTCCTTGTGGAAAATAAATCTAGTTAATTTAAAAAAAATCAAAAGTATTTCAGCTTCACCGGACAGTTTGAGATTAAACTACCACTTCCTCTGCTTTCAGGGCAGACCCCCTCACTATATCTATTTATGTAAGTTGACAATAGGAAAAGGGAACCTTCGCAGGAGCTTGTGGAGGACTGATCATGGTCTTGTTCAAGGTGGTTCTGCATCCATCCTCCTCTTGGTCTTCCTCTGTGAGCAGCAGTCTCTTTTCTGTCTTGAGGATAGCTTTCTCTTGTACAACTGGGTCATCAGAATTCATCTCTTGGATTAAAGCAGCTACAGAACAAATCAGATATGATCATTCAAAGTCTTCAATAGGAAAGACTGTTCACCAGAAAGAACTTGTACAGCATACATAGGAAAGAACTTTTATTTTTCCATTTTTATTGAGATATAATTGACATGTAACAGTAAGTTTAAGGTGTACACTGTACAACAATGATTTGATATATATTGGGAGATGATTCCCACAATAAGGTTAGTTAATATACCCATATGCTCAAATAATTACTGTGTGTATGTATGGTGAGAACATTTGCAATCTACTCTCGTAGTAAGTTTCAACTCCATCATACAGTATTGTTAACTGCTGTACATTAGACCCCCAGAACATACTTACCTTATAACTGAAAATTTATATCCTTTAACCAGCATCTCTCTGTTTCTTAAAGAAGGTTTTGAATAGAAAACAAAAATTAGAGCAACGAGAACCAATGAGAAAAAATTAAGAACAGGATTTGTTTTGCCTGGAAAAAGCTCCAGGAGAATTTAACCATGACTTCCAAGGAACAGAATTTTAAGCCACTTATTTAATTCAACAACATTTATGTAGAACTCATTATGAGTTAGGTATTATGCAGAATGCTATAACAATGATGAATAAAAAAGATTCTTATTTTTAAAGAGCTTACAGTCTTATGTGGGAGACAACAGGTAAATAAAGGCAGCTCTGAGACCATAAAACAACAGCTCTTAATTCTACCCTCATCTGTCTTTACTTTACTGTGCGCCCAGCTTGGATCCCACAGTGCATCACTTGGCTACTGTCCTACCTGCCAGACAAAACTCCAGCTCTAAATAAATCACACTCTCCACGTCTCTAGACCTTTTTTAGGGGTGCTGAGGATGGATAGAGAAAGACAGACAGATGCCTAGGGAAAGTGGTCCTAACTCAACTGGACTGTCAATGATGCTCAGCAATCCTATGTTATCCCAGTATAATTCTGACACCAATTTCCTTGTGTGTTTTTCCCACACCACCAAGCAATTCTCTGACACCAGCTGGATATCCTACAATTCAACTCAATTCTGACACTACTTAACTGGAGACAGCAGCAGATTCCACAGATTAAGGACTTAGGCCTATAGGACTGTAATGGAAAGATCAGGCCAAATCTCTGGAGAAGGCAGGAGGCAAGGAGAAAAGCCCAAGGTAGAACTGAAGATTAAAAGCAGCTTGCCCTCCCAATGAGGGAGGAGGGAGAGGAGAGGAGGGAGACTCCTTAGGCAGCAGGGCAGCTCGTGACATGGCAGAGGGGAGCTTGTACAGAGTATGTGCGACTGGAGACTCTGCCCCTTTATGCAACAAGGCAGCCAGAAGAGGGGCAAAAGCAATTAAGGCCAACACTGGCCCACAGTATCGGAAAGCTGAACACTCTCACTGGCTGCTGGAGCACATAGGATTCTGGGAGAGGACTTTTAAACAGAAGGCGGATGGAAGCTTCTCTCTTGCTTTGCCCCACACAGGCAGGAGCGCCACACACTGGGACTGCTCAGGGCTTAGGCCCTACATGATTGGAAGCCAGCTCCGGGAGGCAGGGTCCCACCGTGGGATGCACGCCTCATGAGGCTCCAGCCTTTGGGATGCTAATGACCCAGTGCAGCACAGCACACAGGTCCTGGACTGCTTCCATTCTCTCGCCCTGAGAGCAGCACATGGAAGCATGAGCTGGGAAGTTCTTTGCAGATGGATCTTCCCCTGCACGACCACCTAGAGTGATTTGGCAGCGCACCCCAGAGCCCGAGACAGAGAGGAAGAGGCTGCAAGACGATGGTGACTGTGGCACCAGAGAGACAAAGAGCCTGGAACTGGAGAGACAGAGACCCATTTGAGTAACAACCTTGGACTACAAATAAGCAATAATGGGGAACTTCTGGACATGGATTTCGACTTTAAGCCCCTTGAGGGGGTGGCTGGTTTTCTGTCCTTTGCAGGAGAGGTTGTCTCAGTCATCTCAGAACAGGAATGTTCCCCGTCCTCTAAAATTAGGAACGCTGTTAATAAAAACCTATTTCCTTCCCCATAAATCTTTCTGTTGTACTTGGCAACAAGTGGCCAGACCCCATGCTGCCTGATTACAGGACTTCCATGTCCCTCTACCCCTGCACTTTAGAGGCCAGTCAAGAGCCCAGGTTGTCACCTGTGCTTCTGAACAAATAGCTATAGTTGGAAGTTCCCACACCTCCTCCTCTTGTTTGATTAATTTGCTAGAGTGACTTACAGAAGTCAGAGAAACATTTCACTTACTAGATTACCAGGAACAGCCAGATGGAAGAGATTCATAGGGCAAGAGATTCATGTGGTAGGAGTGTACAGAGCTTCCAAGCCCTGAGCACTCCACTAGTCCCCAGTCTCCAGGTGTTTACATCTTAAAGGTCTCCAAACCTTGCCCTTTTGGTTTTTATGGAAGTGTTACTAAATAGACATGATTGATCAAATCATTGGCCATTAGAAATCAATTCAACCTCCAGTCCTTCTCCCCTCCTCACAGGGTGGAACTTAAAGTTCAACTCTCCGATCCCAGGGTTGGTTCCCCTGGCAACCAGCCCCACCCTTAGGATCAAAAAATCACTTACTAACATAAGTTCAGGTGTGGATACATGGGGTTTGTTATGAATATCAAGATACCTTTATCTGTCTTATAACTTAGGAAATTACAAGGGTTTTAGGAGCTCTGTGCCAGGAACAGGGATGAAGAACAAACATGTATTTCTTATCACAAATCACAATATCAAACAGGCAAGTCATCCTAGCATTCTCCCAGACTTTCAAAATTGTCTCCAAATTAGACCTGGCCTTTTCAAACAGATGATCTTGCTTATTAATGTAGGGAGGAAAGAGATGCCATCAGAAAGCAACTCCAACTTCCTGCCAGCAAAACTACAAGTTGCCTGTATCCACATCCATTCTCTTTCCTGCTATAAGGAAAAAGTATCCCTCCTGCCTATGACGTTAACCTCTCATCCTATGCTCACCATACCATTACACTGCTTTGCATGGCCAGGAACCTTGCATCACCAATTAATTATGCCCTTCCCACAATACGTTCAACCTCTCCCATTCTACCAGTGTCTTCCCATCGGTATTTATACACTTTCAATGACTCCCAAGGCCTTATCTCCTCCCCTTCACAACTAAACCATTTAAAGGCATTTTCCTGTTCTTATTTCTTCATTTTCCACTGGCTCATCAAGGTAATTTTTCATATATTTTAGTTGTCAAATATGTCAAACAGAAAATAGTGAGACATTTTTGTTTCCATACCATCTGTAAGTTAGTAAGTATCCTTCTCTAGCATGTTTTGCTTTTTTTCAGCATGTTTAACACTTAATATATTTTGTGTCATTTAGCTTTTGCTGCATAACACACCAACCCAAAACTCAGTGCTTAAAGCAACTATCATTTATTTAGCTTTACTTACTTCCCAATTCTCTAAGACTGCAGTTTGGGCTGACCTTAGCTGGCCAGTTCTGCTTTCGGCTGGGCTCAGACATGCTCATGGCCAGCTATCAGTTATCTGAGTGGCTCTATCCTAAAAGCTGGCTGGCTGTTGGCTCCAGCAATGGAAGCAATGAGGTAAAGTGGGTTTCACCTTCTGGCAGGGGTGTACAAGAGTGTCAAGAAAGCAAGCCCTATTGCACACATACTTTTCAAACTTCAACCTGTCTCATGTTTATCAACATCCCTTTGGCAAGTCACATTGCCAACCCAGATTCAAAAGATGTAGAAACAGACTCTACTCCTGATGGAAGAAAGGAATCTGTGACCATTGTTGCAGTGTACTAGGGTATTTGCATATGTGTGTTACTGACACCAATAGACAGACTGTCTGAACAGCTGGGAGTGGGCTGAGGGCAGGAAATAGGAAGGGCCACCAGGGGAGATGGAGCTAGGCAACGGGGATAAAACCTGGGCTCCTTGAGGCACTGAGGGTGAGATGTGCAGCTAGACAATACCTTTGCAAGCTGCCCAGGCCCACCACAAGCACGTTGAACTTTGTGGCACTTCCACACTGCACTGAGCATGCTCCCCTGCCCCCAGCAAGATGGAAGCAGGAGGAAGTTCTTACACCAAGCACATTAAAGACTAGCAAGATAACTGAATAAGAGGGGAAAAGGCCTTCCTTCCCCTCTTCAAGTACCAGATTGGGGGAGGATCTGGGGAAAGCAGGCACATGTACAATAGAGGTTAAATGGCAGTGGGGGATGGTTCTGGAACAAATAGTCCTGTCAGTCTAGCCAGAGGAAAGAAGGGATTGGTGGGGAGGTGGACCCACCCAAAGCATGTGAAAGTCTGGAAAGTTAGTTGGTTATTCTGAGAAAGCACCTGGTCTGTCCCATGCCATAAACTCAGGAAAACAAAGAAATCTCTTTCTTGCTCCTGGCTCACTGTTCAGGACCTGCATTCAGGTAGTGTGCTGACCTGTTGTCTCCATTGGCCATGTGACCTTGGCAGCTGCATGACCCACAGCCTTCAGGTGGGAGTCTTACCATCTTGCTGACCTGGTGGAACATTTGCTGATGCCTTTGTACACTCTCTGGCCCTAGAAGCTGTGTGGACAATGGTGGTGCTGGCTCCACATGAAGCCTCCAGGGGGAAGCCTGAAGGCAGACAGAAGCTGGGAACAAGCTAAGCTACCTGGATGACCACTTAGCAGCCACCTTGGGTTCTAAAGGACACTTCTTTAAAGATAAGAACAGGAATTCTGGGCACTGCCTTTGGTTTGGTCTTGCTTAAGACAGCTGGGTTTTGTGGAGATCAGCTTTGAGACAGGGAGTTCCCCATTCTCCCAGATCATTCAGCATTAGAATAAAACCCCTTTCCCTTTTTCACCAGCCTCTGCCTCTAGAATTTGCCTTTTGGTGGTAACAGGCAGCCAAACCCCACTTTGGTTAGGTAATATTACTGGTTCAAAAGTTCATGTACCTGACACTTGCAAAGGCCAATATTCAAAATCTCAGAGTTTGAAGTAAGAAAAGGTTTACTGATCGAAAAGATACCCAGTTGAGAATATAGCGGCCTTACAGGTTCCTTAAATCCTACTTCCCCAAGCCCAAAGTTCAGGCTTCTTTTAAATCAAGGGAAGAAACACATGGGAGACACAAAAGGTGATCGATGATCCCGGACATCTGGGCACACGCAGCACAGGATCCAAACAAGAGCACACAATCTCTAAATCTCTTTGTCCCCTGATGGTCTGAGTCCAGCCTTGAGACTCCTGCAAATCTTGGATAAACAGACATTATTTTGTACATATTTCCCCACCTCTTTAGGAGAAGTACTTTCTGACAGGGACTATTCTTCCAAAAACTCAAGCCTCAGGCAGAATTCCTCCAACAACTAGCACCTCTATAGCAAGAGCTGTTTGCTAGGCCATGGGTACAATGCAGGCTAGAATTAAGAAAGAGTCAGAGACTGAGCATTTCACTGTTACATACATGTGAGTATTTAATCATCTTAAATAAATGGTTTTATAAAGTGTGCATTCTTTTGTAAGCTACAGATACTTCTAGTTGATTCATATATAGTAAATCATTGTATATACCATAGGTAGTCCATTCTCTTACTGATGGACATCCAGTTTTTTTGTAATTTAAATTTTTGGTATAGGAAATAAATGGTAAATTGAATGTCTGTATACATATTTCCTTTTGCTCATATGTGACACATTCTTAGGATATGGCTGTATCAATTTTTACCCCTATAAGCAGTCTATAAGAATTCCCACTGCTCCAGATGCTTTCTTACATTTGCTATTGTCCAGCTTCCAAATTGTTTCCACTCTCATGGATGGGAATATCTCACTGTTTTCCTTTGCATTTTCCAAAATATGATTGGGACTGAGCATCTTTTTATCTGTCTGTAGGCCATCTGGATTTCCTTTTCTGTGAACTGCCTATCCTATTGTTGGCCAATTTTCTATTGGGTTGTCTTTTTCTTATTATTTCTTTACATATTCTAAACGGATTATATGTATTTGCAAACATCTTGGCCTTGGGTATGCTTTGTCTTTTTGTTTTTCTTTAAGAATTGTTGAAGAGAATTTCTTTTTATTTCAATGTGTTAAGTGCACCAATGTTGTCCTTCATAATGTATGATGTTTGTGTATTTTAAGGTTACAAATGTACTATGTCGTGCTGACTTCTAAAAGTTTTAAAGTTTTGTTTTTCTCATTAAGGTATTTAATCCACCTGGAGTTGACTTTTGTGTAGGGCACCAGCACCATTCGTCGAGGATCCCTTGCCTTCCCCACTGATATGTCATGCCATCCCTGTTACATGCATGAATCTACATGTATGAATCTGCTCTAGTCTCTTCATTCCACTCTACTAGACTACTCACATTTTCCAATACTAAACTTCCATGCATATTTACTATTGCCTTATAATAAGCCTTGACTATTGGTAGAAAGAGCTATCTCACCTTCTTATTATTCTACAAAATTATCTTATTTTTTTATTTATATCTTGATTATCCTCAGCTCTTTGCTCTTCTGTGTGAATTCTGAAATCAGTTTGTTAAATTCTAAACAAGACACTTTTAGGATTTTGATCTAAATTTTACTGAATGTAAAGAATAATGTGAAGAGAACCTTGATCTTGAATTTCTAGCTTCCAGAACTGTAAGAGAATATGTTGTAGAGCAGCCCAAACAGACTAATACACCCTTCTAGACTGAGTTAAAGTTTCTCGCACTTTGCAAGTCTCTCTTTGTATTGAACATCACACTTGAAATTACTTGTTTAGTGTCTGTTTTCCCACTGGATGTAGATACCATGAACACAGGTAATTCTTGTTTATTATTACCATGCTCTCCAGTGCTTAGCAATATTCAATACCTCACAAAAACCCAAGAAATGGATGTACAGAATCCATACACATAATTAAGTGAATTATAAATGAAATAAAATTAGAAATTCAGTCCCTAAGTAGCACCAGCCACATTTCAAATGCTCAGTTGCCACATGTGGCTACCAGTTGCCACAGTGAACAGGGTAGGTTATTTATATAACAGTTCTGTCATCACGGAAAGATCTATTGGGCAGTACCTGAAGGAACTCTGAGTATGAACGAAAGTTAGGCAAAGGACAATGGGGAGGCAGGGGGAATAATAAACACATCTTGCAGAGTATGAACCATCAGGATATGCTTATTCGAGAACTAAAAGCATTTTGTTGCTGCATGAGTGTGACTTAGAGAGCAGTGAGAGGTAAAGAAAGGTCACAGGAGGACTTAAGTCCTGATGAGAGCTTGAAAAGTATTGTGACTGTGGAGAGAATCCAAGCAGAGAAGTGTCTGGGTCAGATTTGCATTTTAGATACATTACTCTGTGGGGAGTATAAACCTGGAGGTAGGAAAAACAATCAGAGGGTTGCTTAAAGATTCTGAGTAGGAGGACCAGAACAAAGGGAGGGCTGGGGAGGAGGATGGAGCTGGAGAAAGAAGCCCAACTTGATGGCTGAATGACTCTACAACTGAGAGATGGGAGGAGTCCATTGTGACTTGTAAATTTCTGGATGGTGGAGCCACCTACTGAGGCCAAAGTGAAGGTGAAAGTAGGAGAAGCAGGCTTCATTTGCGACGACAGAGGGGGAAGAAGAAACTCAATTTTGGAAGCATTAAGTTTACAGTGTTTGTGGGGGGGGGGATACAGTGGACATGGCAGTCAGCTCAGAAAAGAGGGCTGGGTGGCAACTGAGATGTAAGTGTCATCAACGAATGGGTTAAAACCATATGCTATGATGAGAACACCTGAAAAGAAAGATGAGCAGTAGGTCATGGCCAGAACTCCACAGAACAACATTTAGGGATAGGGAGAGTAGAGGACCATGATAAAAACAAAGAACCATTAACCATTATAAATATACCATTTATCAAGTTACCCAAACTATTTTTTAAAACTTTTTATTCTCTGGACCCATAGAACCTGTGAGAAGCAGCAATTTCAACATACGTCTACTGGATTTGTAAGTTGGTTTTTTTGCTTGTTTCTATCCTCAGACAAGCTCCCTTAAGTTTAAATAGGAATCGATTGCTTAGGAATCTCCTGAATGTGGTCTGTGAGATCAGAGTATGTCCTCTGAGATCCCACTGTCTTAGCTGAGGAAGGGGGTCTTCTTGTCTACAGAAAGAGAGATGGGTATGCTAACCATGAGACATCAATGTAATTCCATCAATCCCGAAGGAAAGACAATTGATTTTGCCTTAGCAGCTCAAACACAGAAATGTTTTTACTCTAAACCAAGAGGGATCCGAGACTGATCAACAGGGCACCTGAGTAATCTCAAAGGGGACAGGTAGGCTCATTAGCTATGGGGAAATAGAAGGTCCTTTTAACCTGATTCTACAAGGAAGGTGACAAAATATGGCAAAGGCAAAAATATGGCTGTCAGCCTGAACTCCAATAGAATGTTAACAACTTCTCTGATACTGATTAACAGCCAGAAAATACTACCCCCAGGCTCTAATAATACTTGTTTCTCAATACCATTTCTGTTTAATTTCGACTATATTTTTTTTCTTAAGAGTTATAAACCTGTCAAGGCAAACCAGGAAATAACTTAATGTAAAGTAGAATTTAATTTGCTTATGATTCACTGGTACTTACTGATTTCATCCACATTTTTAAGAAATTTCTGCAAGTCTTTCTCTTGATTGTCAGCCATTGTGAACCAGAATCCCTGAAGGAGACAGCATAAATGATGAAACTTAATAATAATGAAACACTAAACAGAATTTCTCAGGCTCATTAGCCTTCTAAGACTAAGAACCAAGTGACTATTTTTAAGAAGGATTTGTTTTTACAGATGTCATGCACAATGACAGCAGGGTGATCTATTTTACTGCTATTAAGGCCAAGAACACTCATATTTTGTGGTGATACCTCCAGAAAGCTGCCAGTTGTCCCTCCACTGGGGAAACCACTCTGCAAAATGGTCCTCCAAAGCCAACAAGAGCTGCTGTGTTTCAGGAACCTGGTGGGAAGGAGACCAGGAGGAGAGCAGTTGACAGGCCTCTACAGGTACAGAAGGATGCTAACGCTTGATTTTGATCATGACAGACTCACTTAGCCAGAAGCTTGGGCCTGGCTGTGTAACAGGTAAACAGAGAGAGGACAATTTGTATCTAAATGTCCAAAACCGGTGTGAAACATGACCTGGCTTGTTTCTGAGGAGAGGAACTACAAATTGGCCGAAGGGATTGGAACTTGTGGCACCATGCAACAGTGTCTCTTATCTTCTCCAGGTAGTTTAGATTTATTACCTCCCAGTTGTTTCAGTGAAAAAGTGCATGGTGTACCCAATGTTTCTCAAATGTTCACCTGCAAACCATAAAAATCATGCAAAAACTTGTTAAATATAGATTCCTCAGCCTTGGCTCCAGAGCTCCTTGGTCAGTGAAATAGTACTCAGAAATATATCATTGTAAACACTCTCCAGGTGATTCTGATTTACAAGACGGTTTAGTAGTTGTATAATGCACCTGTAACTGGGAATTTGCAATCTGCCACAAACAAGATGTGAGTTACTTTATCTCTGAGATTCCACCAATTACAAGCTATGAGACCTCAGCTAGAGGGGCTAAAGATGCCAGCCCCTCTGCTCCCAGAGCAGGGATCGAAGGGCACACACTGCCTGAACAACGAACCCACTACAGCACGAGGCCACGGCAAGGTGACGTGTCTGGCGCTCCAAGTTTTACTGTAGCGGAGGCCAAGGAAAGCTGTGCCGAAGAGAACCCGGCACCTACGAGCTTCCAGAAACACCTCCCGCCCAGCGCGGGGGGGCGGGGCCGACGGCAACGTTGCTCGGCAACCTCTCCAAAGCGTCGAGGAGTACCGCTGCCAGCCTCGGAGGTCACAGGCCGCAGCCGGTATCGTCCCCTCTGCTGGGGCCCAAACCAGCGTTCTCTCTTAGGCTCTGACAGTCAGATCAGGACCAGGTCCCAGGGAAGACCCCGGGCCACCCCGCTGCACTAACCTGAAGCGGTCAGGGTTAGACGGCAAATGGCGGCTGTGCGCGGTCGTAGGTCGTCACCGGCCGGGGCTGAGCGTGGCCAGGAAGGAGGGGCCAGGGGAGGGCGTGGCCAGGGAGCTTGAGGCTGGGGAGGGCGTGGCCCCGCCCTCAGCTTGGCTACCCTGGCACTTTATTTCAGGTGTGTGCGGCTAAATTCAAGGCGAGCTGCAGAGAGGGCCAGGGTGCCCTGTGGGTACTCTGGAAAGGGGAGAAAGAAAAGGAGGCTTTGAGTAACCACCCCCCCCCCCAGACCCTAATCCGCGCCAGGTTTTCGCCTCTTTTTCTTACAAGAAGTGGAGGTGAGTCTCTCTCTCCCTCCAATTAGCTTAATATATCCCTGGCTGCCCCAAATCGCCAGAGTATTGGTTGAGAGAGGTTTGGTGACAATCCAGTTTTTCTTATTAGTAAATGTGAGACTTTCGGAGAGTTATGTAACCTCTCTGATCTTTAGTTTTCTCATCCGTATCCAGGGAATCATAGGATTTAGAGCAGAATGAAATGTTAAATGCCTTCACACTTGGAATACATGCACCCATCCTTAAAGAGATTCCAGTCTATTTTTTTAAAACAAAAATTAAGTATTATGCGCTGGATTAAAAGGAGAGGAAAGTAGGTTTAGGGAAAAGTCTCAGTATGAGCTTAAGCTGATGTTAAGAAACACTTGGGACTTCTCGAAAATTTGTGAGTGCTTTATAGAAACCTGCTTGGAGTGACCCAGGAGTCCCTGGGGATAGAACTAACGGTGAGGGGAGAGGAGGCCAGGCATGGGACCCCTCTAGATCCAACTAGCTGAACTAGGACGTCCTAGATCCAACACTTATTTTAAGTATAGCTTGCTGACTCTGTCATGTGGCCTAGGCCCTGTAGACAAAGGAGCCCTGTGGAGAACAGGGCCTGTTGACTGAAACCTCTACAAGGCATTGGTACACATGTAGTCCTGTCTGGGTATTTGGACTTCTGACATTTTAAAGTGGTCAATCTGTCAAGTAGGTGGGTGGATGAGTAGATTAAAAAAACCGTGATACATTTGCACAATGGACTACTTATACACAGCAGTGAAAAAAAAAGGAATTCTTATTTTTTTGATAGCATGGATGGAACTGGAGACTATTAGGCTAAGTGAAATAAGCCAGTCAGTGAAAGACAAATACCATATGATCTCACTTATAAGTGAAATCTAATGAACAAAATAAACTAATGAGTAAAATAGAACCAGAGGCACAGAAACATGGAACAGACTGACACTATAAGAGGGGAGGAGGGAGGTGGGGACTATTTGAAGGAAGGTGAAGGTATCAGTCAAAGAACATATGTGCATGACCCACGGACATGAATAACAATGTGGGGATTACTGTGGGAGAGGGTGTGCAGGGTGGAGGGTGGCAAAGGGGGAAAAATTGGGACAACTGTAATAGCATAAACAACAAAATATTTAAATTAAAAAAAAAGTCAGAATTCCTAGTAAGCCCTCGGTAGTCACTGGGTCATCTGCAAAGATTTCAGTTTTCCTATTTTAAAGTACAAGGTAAAATCTCACTTCCCTGTGGCCAGGTGACTTGCTATGTTCACTGCTGTGTGGGAAGAAGTGAAGTAGGCAGTCTTTAAGAAACAGTGTGTGACTCACAGTACAAGCTAACCCTTTCCATTGCCCTAACAGCCAGATGGTGGAGGCTGTGTCAGAGTCCCCAGGTAAAGGGACATGCGCCAGAGGTACTTGTCTACCTTTGATGGACATGCAGCATGATTGAGCAATAGACCTTTCTTGCTATAATTCACAACAATTTTTGGACTTGTTTGTTACACAGCATGACATAGCCCTTCATGTGTAATATGGCCTTTCAGACCCTTGTTCCGCACTCGCTACAGTGACCAAACCTAGGGACCTTGTGTATAAGTATACATAGATTGTGGTCATTGTGATTTACATTTTAAATGTGTCTGCATTTTCACATTCAAACACATAGAGGAAAACAGACTTTTAAAATGCATTAAACCATGCATTTCAAACATATTTCTCCTAGAAAAGCTTAATAAATTATACTTTCACAACTGCTACTTCCACCAACCCAAATCCCTTGCATGGTACTTAAGTTTTACTTTTTTATTATGTCCTCAATAAAAAATGAAGAACACTTGGTCACCTTCCGCTGTATAGTAAATCTGAGACTTGGAGATTATTATAAGCTATCTCTCCTCTCTTTTACTCAGCTCTACCTTTTTTCCATTTTGTTTGTTTGTTTTTCTTCATGTATGTGTGTATGTTTTCTTTGTTCTGCTCTCCCTTTTGTGTAAACAATCCTAGCACTTTGCCTTTTGTCATCACTCATATTTTATAAGCTTAGGAGACAAAGGAGAAAATTTTTCTGAGGGCAACTGCATGAGGAACAAAGGGATCCAACGTTTGCTTGCTGGAAGGTCCACCTGGAGCCAGGAGCCACCCAGACTGTGGAGATGGCCTGTTGGACAAAGCCCCTCACCATGGATGCTGGGACTGCAATTCATTGGATAACCTTGGCTTCAAGATTTAGAAGAGGAGAAGGCTGAAGGAATTTGGTTGCTATTTCCTCCCTCCCTAAAGAGAATTCAAAAATTGCATGTAATTCCCCACCCCCTGAAACATTTCTTTTATTTAATAAAAGCCAGCAGCTAAAATTCTTGCTTCTTGGACACACCCTTTGCCCTTTTAGTTCTCACTTTATTATGGATGAAGAAATAATTTCAGGAAATAGTTACAGATTTAGTCCTTGTGTCCATAGGGAGCAAGGGGCTTCCTTGGAATCTCTGTACAGTCATAACACCATGATCATTAAGAACAGCAACAATAACAAGAGTGATAGTAACATTCTCTGAGCTGCTAGGTACCAGGCATCACACTAAATCCTTTATAAACTTTATCACAATGAAGTCTCAACCAGCCCTACAAGGTTCTATTCCCATTTCAGCCATAAATAAATAAGTAAACAAACTAACAAAAAAATAAGAAAAATAAAAAAAGAAAGCAATGCAACCAGGGAGGTTATGGAACTTGCCTGGGGCTGAGCCATGATGTGAACCCTGGTCTGATGGCCTCCTAGATCATACTGTCCCCTCTCATCACACTGCCCCCCATGTGCCACCCTTCCCTGAGAGTTCTGTTTTCAACTCCAACTATCAGTGACTGCCCCAGGGGCCTAGGGCTTTACTTTGGCCTCGTGGATGTATGAACTCCTATACAGGGAGTCTGATCCAAACCTCCAAAGGTGATGGATGCATCTTTCCTATAGCCAGAGGGCCATGTCCCTCACTCCATTAAGGAAGATAGGATGATTCCAATAACGTCTTCCTTTGGAAGCTTTCTATGGATCACAGGACTTCTCTGTCTGAAGAGGAAAGGGGAGTCGGGCATTTAGTGCCAGGTGGAAACTGTGCCCTGAGTCCCACCTCTACCTGGTGTGGAGTAATACTGCCACCACGTGGCAAGCTAGCTACACTTGGACAACTGTGGTGGGAGAGCAGTCAGCTCGCTTGGTGTTCAGGCATTTATTTAATGCTTGTTGAGCACCTACTGTTGCCACATACCTGGCTAGTCTCCTGCTGCTGCTGCTGTTCCTTCTTAGTGAGTGAAATGATGTCAGGGATTTAGGCACTAGTGAATGTTCAACATTCATACATCATTTATTTGGGTCACTTTCATCTAGGGGTGATTCACACTACTCAGAAATTATAATGATGCATCAGCTTTGTGCAGTGGGTGTCTTTTTTTTTGTCTCCATGGTTTTTGGGACAAGAGGATACACAAAGAAATAGAAAACTCCAGAGTTACTTACTGTCCTGATGTGGGCTCCATCTCAATTGTTAGGAAAGAATGGGGATATGTGTTTCTTGTAAATGCCTTTGCTTCTTTTAGTACTAATAGTTTAATAATATATTAAAACATATCATAGAAACTTAGAAAATAGAGAAAAACAAAAAATCATTTATGACTTCTTTACCTTGACACCACCATTATTAACACTTTGCTGTATTTTCCTTCTGGTTTTTTTTCTGGACTTTTTTTTTTTTTTGTAATGATGTAATGATGCTGGGAAACTGTTGCATACCCACATATGGGCTTTGGAAGAAAAGTTTGGGATGGAGATAAAGGTGTAAGATTATCAGCACATTTCTAGCATCCTGCAGCAATAGAATACATATAGGCATCCATACACACATGCATGACTGTTTCTCTTAAGCCAACTTTAATTGTGAGAGTAGAGAGTACTGGGCTTAGAGTCAGATCTGTATTCAAATCCCACTTATGCCATTTAACACCTGTTCAGGGTTCTCCAGAAAAATAAAACCACCAGGAGATTGATATATAGTATAGATGTAGATGAGACTATAAATACGGAGAGAGAGAAAAAGAGTTTTATTTTAAGGAACTGGCTCATACAGTTGTGTGAGGGGTCTGCAAGTCCAGGATCAGCAGGGCAGGTGAGCAGGCTGGAAATTCACAAAACCTCAGTTTTTGCTCAAAGGCCTTCAGCTGATTGGATGAGGATACTATACTTAAAGTCAACTGATTGTACATATTTACCAGAAGGGGCTGACATAGAATATTCAAAGTGACAAAAAGCAAGGACCTACAACCAAGATTAGTCTACCTAGCAAGGCCCTCATTTAAAATTAAAAGACAGATAGACAGTTTCCCAGACAAGAAAAAACTAGAGTCCATCACCACCCAACTAGTATTAAAAGAAATGTTAAAGGATCTTCTTTAATAGGAAGATGAAAATAAAAATAGGTTAAGTACCAATACTAGGGCCTGGCTAAGTTGAAACATAAGACTAACAATCATACCATATATGTGACCTTAGGCAAGTTACTTAACTTCTGTGAGTCTCAGCTTCCTCATCTGTAAAATATGATGAAAAATGCTCCTCAAGGAAATTTGTATTAGTGAACCTTTAGTGAAAAAATCAGAAATCCATTTTTCCCCCAGTTGAGTTTGAGAGTACATTTACTAAAGCTGGGGACAGCGAAACAAGGAAAGGCTTAGGACAGGAGAAGCAATCGG